TTGATCATTTTGATTGCATTTGATTGCGACCTCTCCCTTCAATTTGTTGTCGATCCTCAGAATCATAATTTAGGCAGTTGTTGGAGAAAGCAATAATCAACTGAAAAAGCTTTGTACTATGATGATTACAAATGCCTCCGGACATAACTGATTCCACTCGTCAAAAGTTTCGAAGAATATCGAATTATCATCACAATGAATTGAAATGAACACCGAGATTTTTGTGGATAAATATGACAGCATCAAATGGGAGTTTAAAGAACTTACAAATCCAGTTTTTCAATTTTCAGGTGAAGAAATTGATTTTACGTAGCTGAAGAGATAAATCTGTCCACACCTTCATTTTTCTGTCACAATTCTCTTATATTCTCTTATATATGAATAATCATTGCAATCACATTAGTATAATTTATTTACAGTTTAAGATATATCAAGATCATTGTTTTAAGTTGTTTTATTCAAAATTTATTTAAACAATTTTTAACAAACTTGAGCACTTGATTCCTTTGGATTAATTCGTTACAAAAAACGGCACTCTCTGCGCCGAATTTAAATTTGGCGGTTCGACTTGACTAATGAGGAATTCGTCCTACGCATTTCGAGGTATTTCGACTCAGGCGAACTTCATTATTGTGTTTCTACTTTCATAATTAGGACGAGACCTACTGCGCACTCAGTGCGCCGAATTTGAATTTGGCGGTTCAACTCGACCAATGAGGAACAATAGAATGAATACATTCTTAGTCCTGTTCTAAAAGAGACACACTTGACACAATCGATTATCTCGAAAATCTCGAAATCATGAAGCTACGATTCCTTATTGGTCCAGCTAAAGTGGCGCGAGATTACAAAGTCGTAACTCTCTGACAGAAATCTTTTCATACCCGCGCGCTGGCACGGATTTTTTCGAAAGCTTGATGGCCTGTGGGTCTGTGGGCCATCCGTTTATACCGTCATCTTGTAGTATTTTAGTATTATTTTCCCGAAACACCAGCGAAGGTTTTCCAATCGGTTTCATAAGTTGATTCTTTTAATTATTAAAAACTGCGGCTAATTATATTTTCATCTTTAAATCCTACTTTAGTTACAGATGATCATCTATTACGCCATCCCTCGGATGGGGTGGTACTAATCCGATTGCTCTCTATTTTCCACTTTATTTCACGTTCTTTATCTAAGGCTATGGCTATGGCTATTCTCCACAGGATAGAAAGTGACAGCAATATAACATTCTCTGTTCGTTAAAAAGAAGACCGACTATCCTGTTTGGTTACATGATTTTCTGAATACATGGAAAACAAGAAAAACCTCTGGGCGCTGGCTATGCGTATTATATTGGTCAAGTAAATGTGTGGGAGTGTGCGCTCTCTCACCGTTTGGACGATCTAAGTTGAAAATGTTTATGATTATCTCCCTGACGGAATAATACATCTATCTGTGTACGTACATATCTGTGGACGATTGAAAATTAATGGACAAGGTCGAAACGAAAGCGTCGTCGGTACAGAGAGAGCCTTGAAGTTTCTCCGATGGTGGACCCCGTAGTAGAATTCGTCAGAGTTTTGTAGAATACGAATACGTTGTATACGTTAATTTTGTCCTGACGTCTTATCCCTATCTTTTTTGGAGTCTCTCTTTTAATTTAACCCCCCTGTTCTCATCACCTCTAAAACATACCAGAAATAAATTCCACTTTGAACATCCGTAGGAGACCTCTTCAAGGTCGTTCATCACTGAAATCCGGATAACAAGTGCAATTGAGTGTTCATCATCAACATCTGTTGATTGTAATTTTGATATCATATGTGAATTAATCAATATCACAAAGACATTTGGCAAAAAGCCACTTGAGCACATAAAAAGTTAACGCTATAATTACTGGAATAAGTGTGTGGGATATTATAAGATGGCGTCAGCAGTCATTACGTCGTGGACTTGAAAGGAAGTGGGCAAATAAGAAAAGTGCATTTTTTTTAATAAAAAAAAAATTTGTACGATTCAATCATCATCATCTACGTGGAAAAGACAGTATTGCATCGGAAGTATTTTCCATAATTAGTGGTAGTGATTGAAATTTAAATGGAAATGTGTGATGTGGACTTATTGATCAAATGTGAGTAAAAACTGGCATAAATAAATGGAAGTTGATAAAATTTCGTATGCAGTTACGTCTTAGGAATTGAAATCTTTTGTTTTCACTGATCGATGCTTTTGTCGAATGTGTCACGTTGTGTTGTCAGGACTTTTTAGTCTGGACGAGTGATTATTGTGATTGCCGTGGCAAAGGATAACCCAAGGTTCAATTGTCGAGGGCAATTGTTTCAATTGAACAGTGCCAAGTGTTGGAAATAAAAGTAATTAACAATGCGTGAATTTAAAGTAGTTGTGTTGGGCTCGGGTGGGGTGGGTAAAAGTGCACTTACAGTGCAATTTGTGTCGGGTTGTTTCATGGAGAAATATGATCCAACGATTGAGGATTTTTATCGTAAGGAAATTGAAGTGGATAACTCACCATGTGTCTTGGAAATTCTTGACACTGCTGGTACTGAGCAATTTGCCAGCATGAGGGATTTGTACATCAAAAATGGCCAAGGTTTTGTCGTTGTATACAGTTTGACGAATCATCAAACATTCCAGGATATAAAAGCCATGAAGGAACTCATCACACGGGTCAAAGGTACTGAAAGAGTACCCGTACTTCTGGTTGCTAATAAATTAGATCTGGAGCATCAGAGAGAGGTGGAGACAGCCGAGGGTAATGCACTTGCACAACTATGGGGGTGTCCATTTGTGGAAGCCTCAGCCAAGAATCGAACCAATGTCAATGAAGTTTTTGCCGAAATTGTTAGGGAGATGAATTTCAGCCCTGAAAAGGAGAAGAAAAGCTACTGTTGTTGCAGTGTACTTTAATACTTAATCAAAAGCCTGGTACATTTGAGCACATTGAGACTGAAAATTTACTGAGTGCTTTAAACTGCATGTGGCACACTAAAGTACCATACAATTCCATAACGCAGGAGTGAAATCATTTGATAAGCTAAATAAACTTTGTGTCAATATTTCCAGGTAGAGTTGCAGTTCTACCACTTTGCAAATAAAATTATAGGAAAAATCTTTTCTATAAAACAAAATTAATGAATACATTAAATCCTTTTTCTTTCTGTAATTATAAAACGTACGTGAATGACTCACTTTTTTTTTCATCGTAATCGTAACATTCATCTTTTTATTTCGTTCCTATTTTTGTGAAGAGACGAATGCAGAATTGAATATTGAAAAATTTTAAGATCATGGCTGTCAACTAGTTTCACGGTCCCATATTTTAATATAACATGGATAGTATTATGTGTAATTATCACTGTAATATATTGATTAAATACGACTGGTATAAATAAGAGTGAAAGATTGAAGAGTTTGGTGGTATTTTGAAGGTAACAAATTTTAAGGACCAATGCGCAGTTTCTTTGCAAAACTAGAAACCGATGATAAGGCATGAGTGAGAAAATTGTGTGATCGTCCCCTCCCGCCTTGTGTTATTCTGTTGATTGTTGAGTGCAAAGATTTAAAAACAAAAAAACCAAAACCACATAGAATGTAGAGAATATTTCTGCTCAATTATTGACATTTTTCTTTTTTTTTGATAATTTAATATATTGCGCATTTGTCAATCTTGGCAAATACTTGAAAATTTGGAATATGAGGTGCTCACTCACAAAAATATAGAGATATTGCAGAATTTGAAGGGAACCACTGTGATGGTTTTAGGCTCGCCATAAAATAATTTAAATTTTTATCAAGCTCTAATTGCAATTCGTTCGTTCCCCTGTCAATCAATATGTTTTATCAAGATTTAAAAAAAAAAAAAAAATTATTTTACTGTCATCGTTTAGTTTTTTTATTCTAACATACGTGTGTTTCAAATCCAGTGATTCGTTTGTATGTGAAAAAAGTAGTAGGCTGTAAGAATTTATATCTTATTATTACCGATAGAATGAATCCAGAGTTTGAGACAATTTATTCGTCATTATCGTCATTTTTTTTTTCTCTTCATTAAAAACAAGTCGGTGGAACAGTCGTATCGCAATAATTAATCTGTTCTTAACATGACTTGCCTTAAAAGACATTCTCTACTGATTCGTATTATTTCTCTTTATTTTCAATCTGGTAAAAATATATGATAGATAGGAAATTCATCATGCAAGTGCGATGCAATGCGTCACTATTCTTTTATTTTTAATTTTTTTTTTTCATTCCATTTATAGTCGAGTGAGGGGAGAGTACGAGAGCATTCGAATGCACTGGTTAAATTGCTAATAATCCAAAGCTTTCATCTTCAGCCCCTTTCTTTCATTGTAAGAAGACGAAAATACTGCGTACGCAGGGATCCCTTCAACTCTAATCAAATGAATTTTCCACATTTTCTTCATTTTAATAATAATAATTTTTTCAAATTTTTTTATGCACGGGGCATCATGCAATGCATAAGTCTATCTCTCCTCTCAATTTTCACATTGACATTTAAATATAATCGACTTATATGCTGTGAAAAAGCAAAATTTTTCGGCTAGTTATTTCTTTTATTATAGTAAAGATTTTTCATTTGAATTTTGAATACGTAATATAAGGACTATCTAGAACATCTAGAAATGCAATTTAAGAAATGTGGGAATTGAGTTCACTGGGAATAGACACGACCATTAAAAAATAATAATTCTACAAAGAAAATGAAACGAATACACGTGTTGATTTCGTCTTCATATTAAGAAAAAAGATGTATGGAATAATTACTAATGAAGGAAAAAGATATTCAAAACATGTATTGTTTTTTTTTGTGATGGCTAGGTTTTCCACGTTGTATACATGAATATCACTGTGATCCTGTAGATGTAACCAAAAACAAAACCAGAAAATAAGTTGGAAGGAAAATTTTTATATTCATCAATAAAAAAAAAAGGCGCACAATGTAAACCCTTGGCGCACTTGGTAAACCACAAACCATATCCGTTCAACTTAAATGCTCGCTTTTTTTTTAACAAATAAAAATATTAATATTATGCACATGCATTTTTGGTCCTTTCTGTTCAAACAGATGAAATACTTGTTATCGTCTCTAAGTGAGGAAAAAAAAATAATGAATAATTTATGTCTTTTTATGGGAAGTTGTATCATCGAATATCCATTCATCCAGTTTAGTCTAAATTAAATCGAGGGCATAATATTTTATCATCTCCATCGCTGAACTATTCTGTTAAATGAAATTAAATTGAAAGAAAAATCATTTTCTAAAAATGGAACATAGGAATGTGCTCCAACTATATCTTCGCCTGTTTCAGCATATCACTGGCCAGGGATGATGTTCCTACTTATTCAAGTTAGAATGAACCTTGCAATGACCATAAAATAATGAACAAACAAAAAATAATCATTAATATAGTTGAAATTTTGAACTTGTGTCTGTACGTATTATGATTTGCACCTCGGGTTTACGAAACTTTTTCGTAACTCAAAGAGTGAAAAGAATTTGAATTATAATTTAACTTTTTTCAGTGAAAACGATGAATGATTAACACAAAAAGTGACAACACCACAATTTAGATTGTATATCGGCCTTTCAGTACTACCAGTATATGGTGTTAAGTACGAATAATGTTATATTTTTTACGATGTGGAAAAAACTGTAAATATTATAGTATCAAGTTATATATAATAAAACATTAATAATAACATTTGTTTTACGTGAATATGAACATAAACCAAAGACAGAGCAGTTAATCTACAAAGAAAGTACATTTTAAAACTTCAATTCGACTTACATACAATCAATTTTATTAATTTATTCCGTGAATTCGATGATAATTATTTTTCAATTGGTCCAACAGTTCATCATGATCTGTCACTGCTGCTGAAATCCTCTTCGACTAAATGAATTTAATGTCTCTACACCTTAGGACTTTTCTTTTAAAATTCAGAGTATAATATTGATTGCCTGGTTTAATCATATTGAAAGTAAATAAGTATGGGAAATAATTAAAAAATATATTATCAGAGAAAATTAAATAAAGTACAATGGGAGTGACTGCAGAAATACAAGTAAATAGCATTATGTGACACTTCAAGACTCGAAACCAATCAAGGAAGCAGCTAAAATCGATCAATCGAATTGACCGCAAACTCTACAAAATCACATATTTAATTTTCAAAGCATGACCACATTTTCTTATTATTATTACCCCTACAGATTTTTCTCTTCTCTTTCCATTTGAATTCCTGTCTTATCAGAAAAAAAAATCAAAAATACAGTTCTTTTTATTTTCAAAATAATTTTGAAGAATTGATTGTAGATTAAAACACAAAAAAAAATAGCTTACAATTGAAGTAGTATAATTACGAAGTGGGAAGAAGTAAATTCTTTACCCTATTTATTGTGCAGCATTGATTTTTTAAGGATACCATAAGACAGATGGAAATAAAATTCTGAGAAATTTGTGACCTATAAATTTTTTTGGCATCACATTTTTCCTTAATTGGTGTACTCAGACACTTATCACCAAAGCAACTCAACAAGTTAACAACTTCCGCTAACGACTCAGCAGTTGACTCATTACTTGGGCGATTATTCATCCACAGTACAGTCTCATTATAGAAATGCTGATACTCTGTCCCTTGCACACTATCACTCAATTTTCTGAAGTTATTTAAAAACGACTCTAAGAAGAACTGCATATCAATGCCCAAGTCTAAATGAATCAAGCCCTTCAGAAACTTCGATAATGATTTGATAAGAGAACCGAATTTATCGTGGTTGGGCAAAGATTTTAAGCAATAATCGCAAGCTTCAATTGTTATTCTCACAATCTTGTCGAACCCCTCAATTAAATTAGAATTCTTGCATTCATTCCAGTCGATTGCAGTTATTTCAAATGCTAATCTCGTATACTCTGCCTCGGTGCAATTGAAAATTACATGTTTCATTATTTCGTCTTCTAAATTGACATATCTGTTAAAACAATTGTGTATTAAAATTGGTTCACCCTTAACAATGACTTTTTGAATAGTTGTATTGATTCTTCTAGAGTAGTCTTCGATTATTTCGGTGATATCAAGGTATTCTGATGTGTTGAAGAGCTTAGAAAAATATAATTTATCCACGGGGGATATCGTGGCTTCAAAATCAATTATCCAACGTCTTCTCTCGACATCTACGAACCAATTATCATGCATACCTAATACTGTTTCTACTACTCTTATCGTCAACGTTAACATCTCGGTGTTGAGCAGATTCGGGATACGTCTGTCATAACGTAACTGTGACATTTTTTCCACCATTGATTTTAGCAACAACTCAAGGTTTACGTCATTCAATGTTACAGCTATTTGACGGAGATTAATTAATATTGATCTAACTGTTGAATATGGCAAATCTACGGTTTTAATTAAGGGGATATAAACTGAATTAAACAATTCATCGGTTGTAAACACATGGTGCTCTATCATTGACTTGATGAAATTGGAAAATTTGATGAATGAGAATTCATCATTTTCCAACGCAATTTTCAATAAACAAAATAAAACTAAATTTCCAGTTCCATTGCGAATGGTCATTACTGGGGAGAGAAGAATCAAATCATCTGGATTTATCATGAGATTATTATATTTCTCAGATCCAATGCAAATTTTTATTAAAATCATCAGAAACTTCTGGGGATTTTTGAGTAAAAAAAAAAGTAGTATTTTCAATTTGTTTGGAGTTATGAAGTTCACATTATTTAATAAAAAATCCATGAACCTTTGTTCAGAATGGAGTGATTCTAAGATGTGATCTCCATCATGTTTTAAAATATACTGCAATATTATTTCATATAAATCCTTAAGTTTTTGCCTGAAAAATATTTTCGTTAGCGTGTTATAAACAATCTGTATCTCCTCTCCGTATTTTTCATTCACAATTAATTCTGTTAAATACTCCAGCAGATTGAGAAAATCATCTTTATCAAATAGGTCAACTCTTTTTCGAATTGAATGGAATACAGAGTTGTCCCACTTGTTGCATTGAATTAGTAATTGTTTGAGGTAATCGTGATTTCCCTCTTCCACTCCTTTGCATAATTCTTTCAAGTCTGTAGTTGTACAGCAGTGGATGGATTCTGGTTTGACCGATAACTGTTGAAGACATTCGATGAGATGCTCGTGAGCATCGGTATCGTTCTCCTTGATCAATTGAATTAGATGAAAGCATTCAATTCCTATCTTCTGTTGGAGAGATATGGAAGGGTTTGCCTGTGGGTTCAGCGATGCCCAGTCTATATAAACATCGCAGTTGATCTCCTTCACTTTCTTCAGGAGAACATTCATAAGGCACAAGGTCAGAGATTTTAGATGATGGTTCACAGTTTTTGTATCACATCTTCGTAGAGTTCCTCGACCTAAACTGATTTCATATAATTTGTGTTGTTTTTCGGATTCCGTAGTGACTTTTCTCCCATTCAATTCCAAAATAGTCCTGGTTAATATCAAGATTTCTTGAAGAATATATCCATAACGTTCACTCCTGTCAATTCCAGAAACCTCTAACAACCTTAGGCACTTTTTATTCTCCAGTAAACTCAAAATCTCCTGATAATTAATAATTAATTTCTCCAAATTTGTATCAAAATCTAATGAATGAGTTCCCACATCTCCAATGATAAGTACCTTTATGTAACAGTGTCGAGTAAGGGTTAATAAGAGATTGAAAACCCTTGGAAAGCCCAACGTGAAAGCGTATCGTCGTAGGATCTCGAGGACTTCTATACAGAGATCCAGTGGTAAATTCAGAATTGACTCCGCCAGGAGTCCTTCGTATTCTAAATGCCAGACGAGCTCAATGAGGAGATATGGAGATAACGGAGGACATATATCAACCAAATGACCGTGAAGAAAGTCTTCCTGAAGAAACTCTTGCGTCTTAAAGTCCGTATTTAAAATCAAATACTGTAGTGCTTTAATACATTCTACACTAGATGTTGAAGTTTTCTCCTTGATCGGAATATTACAGCCTTCAAATATAGAACATACAGATGTAGTAACCTCTTCGATGTGTTTAATATTTTCCTCTGTTGACTTTGACGATAAGAATTTCAGCTTTCCTACTTCAGAATCTTTTTTTATTAGAAATGTCTGGATTTTTTGGTAAAAAATGTCCATTTGGTCCGTCATCACTCTTTTCTCCACGTTTCTGAGGAACAGCATGAATAATAATATTACATTAGTTATCGTGATAAATGCACAATTATCTGAGAAATCAGACGTAATAAAATAATTAATACTCACGATTGAAGGTCACTTATTATGAGAGCTCACATAACCAAAAGGTGGTAGGAATTTCAGATTTTTCGACTGATTTTTAGAGAGACTCATTAAAATAGCTTAAACTGGAAATGGTACAAGCCTGGTACATGGACGATAGTGAAGATGATCAAAGATTGGAACATCATAAAACACCTCCGCAGTTTTTAACTCTTCAGCAGCTGTACAGGATTACTGGAGTTGAATACTTTGAGGTTAGATACTTTGTTTCCTTTTGAAGGGTTTATGGTGTCTATATGAGCTGATGCCCTATAATTAGTTGAACGAATTATGTTTTAATATTTCATTATTTTAAGGGAAAAGGTAATCCACAAAAGATAAATGGCAACTTAATGTAACCGTAGCTCACCAATTCAATAATTGGGAGAAATATTGAAGTTTGTCATTTTTCTTTCGTATGAAAATTTTTATCTCTCAGTATTCGTCGGGAAAAAGCAAGAAAAACATAATTAAATCATAAATTTTTATGGGAAGTTCCTTTCGCTTAAAAATATAATGGTTTCGGTATTTCTTTTTTTAGGCGCGTTTCCCAAGCCGTGCACCTGAAAAATTTAATAATGATCATAATTTAATAATAATAATTATTATTATTTAATAATTATTTCATATTATATAGGGGATATGGGTGCAAAACGGACACCCTAAAATTTTTTGGATTCTCCCGATTTTTTAATTTTTTCATTTCCACCATTTTTTTTGTTCGAATCATAAAAAAAATATGGAATTAAACATTTAATATGAATATAAATTTGATTCAACAGCTGCTATTTTTTAATTAGGAAATATATGCAGAATTACGAAATGTAATGAATATTCAAGTGAATTTGAAGTACCCGTTTTGCCCCCACCCGTTCTACGAAATATTTTCATGGGCAGAGTTTGTACCTTCTTGTGGTTATATCGCGAGCCATTGAAAAATGCTCATTTTCTCGAGAATATAGTATATTTCACGCCTAGGACGAAAAAAGGGAAAAAGCGTTTTCGGCCACAATGACATAAAATAGCATCATAGCCACGGCGAAAAAAGTGATTCTCACTCATGCGCGTTATAATCCTCGTCTCCGACTCGGACTATAAAGTCGCATTCGTCAGATTCCCTTTTTTCGTCCTAGGCGTGAAATATACTATTGTGGGAAATTATGAATATTATATCAAGTGAAATGAATAATAGAAGAACCAATAAGAATCGGTTGTAGCAATGTTTGGTTGGTTGATTCAAATATCATTAGATTCATAAAAATTTGGGTATTGATTGAGAAGTTGTGATTGTTTTTTCTTTTAATAAACTTACATTTTCGAAATATATGTTGGGAATTCCGTTTTTATGCTATTATTTATCATTATTATTCAAGTCGAAGAAAGCTCAAGCGACTGAGTGGTAGAAATATGCGACCCGCAGTAGAAAGGCGTGACGCTAAGTTAGAAATTTGAATATTACGAAATGTATGCTCAATGAATTGGGAATTCAGCAGTGAAAACAGAAAAGTTCGTCTGTGGAAAAGAACACTTTAAAAAAACTGTTCGTTTCGTCAAGTGTATTAAATAATAGACGAATCAATAAGTATTTGTCTGAAAAAAACGGCAAACGATATTTACATAATTAATCTTTTTGGACGAGCTAAGATTTCTCGAATTCATGGAAAGTATGAATATTGATTCTGTAGTTGTCATTATTTTTTCCATCTACTAAAATTATAGTATCGAAATATGTTAGCAATGAATTTTTAATGCATCTACTTATGCCCTACTTAGCGAAAGCCATGGCACTGAACTCATCACTATCGATAACAATCAGAACACCATTTACTGTGAAATATTTGACTAAAGACCTCCCATTACATTTCTCGATAGTATGTCAATTTTAGAATCGGAATATCCCTTAACGTGAGGTGTAAACTAAAGAAATGAATATTGAATGAATGCTGATACTTCAGAATGCTAGTTCTAGTTCGACTATTGGATTGATTATTCGCAGCAAAACTAGAATCGTTTATACGTGAAAAAGAAAAAATCTAAATCCCAGAAAAAAACGCACTAAACAATAATTCAGTTTTTTTCTTTTTGAGGATTTCGGTTATCCTAAAATTTCAGTTACCAAGTAAAAATAGTTCTAGTAATCGTATGATTAATCTATTTAATTAATCGAACAAAGTGACACGCTTAACTTTTAGTATTTACATAATACTCGTTTCTTGAGTTAAAGATTTGACATTATGTTTCACCCTAATAATTTACAGAACTGACCGAACATTATGACTAAAGGACTATTAAGGATACTGATGACTTCATTATCTTGAAATGCACAAAGTACATAATACGTAATAGCATAAAGCAATAACAGCATTTCCAATATATTTCGATAATGCCATTTTATTATCATAAGAAACCATCATAACTTCGTAATCAATATCAACATTTGTTATGAATCTAATGATATTGGACTCGTGTAAGAGGTAATCTACTCAAACATCGTTCAACAAGTTTGCTACAACAGATTGTTATTGGTTCCTTTATTATTCACTTCAATTGCTGGAGTAATAGTATATTTCTCCCCTAGGGAGGAAAAGTAGACAAGTCCTCCCCACGTGCAAAATTACCACCCGAGCCGAAGGCGAATTCTCGTGGGGAATTCTTGTCTGTGTTTCCTCCCGAGGGTTGAATACGATTTTTCTGCCCACATACTCACTTCGTACGGTTAGAATGCTCACTTTCGACGCGTGTGGGCAGAAAAAAGTTTTTCCGTCATACCTACACGGAAAGTTCGATTTTACTCCCCAAACGACCGAAAGGAACGAGCCTATTCTATCCTTCGGATTTCTGTTGATTTTGAGGATCTTCGGGATGACATAACCCACATTCTTGCCGTCATTTATGAAAAAAAATCCAACTTCTCCGTTTAGTGATGACGGAAAGAATAATGTGCACCGTGAAAGGAAAACAGGATATTGAACCCGCATGTTTATACCACCCTCGGCTTCGGCTCAAGTCGGTAATACACATGCGGGTTAGAACGCTCATTTTTCCGCCCTTGGCGCACCATATACTATTCATGAAAGATTTAATTACCGAAAGATTTAACTACCGCACTAATCAAAGTCATCAGTACTTTAGCTTGCCTCATGATGTATCCGGAGTACTACCTTAAAGCAGCTTGTTCCTTTGATACTGAGGATCAAAGATTTTCGAGAAATCGCTGTACTTTCGAGACAACTCGTCTAATTGAGATGGAATTGCGCCCAGAAATGCTTCACAGCAATACCCATTATGTTACAATAAATCGGCCCGACGGAATTGTTAGATTCTGAAGAAAATTCGGGGTCTCCTGATTTTTTATATAATTTGTTAATAATAACTTAACTCATTTATCATATTTACTTATAATTATGAATATTAAAATGGACTTGTTTTTTTACCGTTGTTTTTTTATGCTGATTTTGGTTATGTTCAGGTTGAACATGAGAATTACTCGAACAATAAGAAATTGAAGGAATTGCGGGAGTCAAGGGGATATTCTTATGAAGACGAGATCGTGTGTTCCGAAGAATGTTTGCCGAATTATAAAGAAAAGGTAAATAAATCACTACGTAAATCAATCTACTCATTTTATTTTTAACAAAATTTGTTGCGAGTTCGAGAACTTTTGTTGCAAGTTCGAGAACTTTACAAGTTGGCATAGAAGAATTCCAACTGGGCTATTTATCTTTATCCTCAACAGAGGCGATACAGCCTCTACCGTTTTATTGCTGGGGATGTACTAAACTATACTTAAATCAGCATAAGTTTTAACATTGATTTTAGGAGTGGGGGACATGGTTACAAGTGGTAACTACGTGGAGTGGGGGTACCCAGAGAAGTAAAAACTTATGCTGACTTTAGTATACCTAAAGATTTCGAGACAAATATCAGGGGCTAAGTGGTAGTCTCTCGTGTTCTGAAAGTTGTGAGTTCGATTCCCCGTTGATTCCAATTTTTCAACAGGCGCCGATGAGCGGGAGGTTGCTAATAGAGCAACCGCCTGTACCGACATGGTTTTTCCTGTGGTTTCCCATGTTACTTCTACGTTCTATAGTAGAGTGAATACGGTACAGTGTAGGATCCACAGCTGCATGCATAGGGTGAGATACGACAAATTAGCCAGAATAGGGCAGAAAGGGCTGGTGTATAAAAACAAAATATATCTCGGTTCTAATGTTTTGGATATACTCGAGTAAGGTGTGGGGAGATACTTGTAACAGAATCTGTGGGTTGAGCTTGTGGTCGAGATCGAGAATATGGTCCAGCAATTTTTCAAATCAGTCTGTAATTCGTTCTATTTTGGTGCGTTTGTAGAGTTGTCCGTCCGAGAGGTTGTCAGGATGGCAGATTTTTGTCATTTCGCGGAGTTTAGTTGTTTGAGCAACTCCTATTATTTTTTGGGTGCTGGGTTTGGAGAAGACGAGTGGAGGGTGGGCATAGTCTAGTGTTGGTCGACATACCGCCTTGTAGATTTTAATGATGTGGCGAGTGTTAAGTGCTTTGTCCTTGTAAGTGAGAGGCACTTTGTGCCTCTGATGATGCACCTTTTCTTTACGGTGTTGAGATTTAAAGATGAGGTTGCAGTCAAGCTCAACTCCTAGGTATCTGGTGTGAAGCCAGGGGAGATTGGAGCGTTTTGGAGTGATATTTTGGAGGAGCATTTTAGGGGATCAATGCAAGATTTCAAGTATTGGGATTTGGATGGGTTTAATTTTAGTCGCCATCGATTAAACCGGACCTGGACTTCGTCGGCGAGATTTTTGGTCGCTAGTTGCCAGATTTGGAATGGATTTTCTGGGATATCGTGACAAAAAATAGCCTTATTATGAAAGTAGAAAGACAAAAATGAAGTTCGCCCGAGTGGAAATATCTCGAAACGGATCCCTCATTGGTCAACTCGAACCGCCTTATTCAAATTCAGCGCACGAAGTGCGCAGTAGGTCTCGTTGCGTAGAAGAAGGGAGAGTTGCGAACCGTAAGCCTTACGACGTAAGGGACTCCTTGTTAAGGCGCGAATTCATGTGAGAGGCTACATTTTCTTTGGATGGACATGGGTCGTTCTGAGAGAAATTGTTGAGTCATTCTGATAAGGCATGGCAGGCAATTGAGTTTTTTTAGCTTGAAGAAGAATCCTTTGTGCAAACACTATCAAAGGATTTGGACATCGTCGAATAGGTTATTGGTTTGAAGGTTATGTTTAGCGGTTGGAATATTAGATGTGAGTATAACGAGGGGTTGGATGGGAGATTTCCCTTCTTAAAATAAATTAAGTAATTGGTCTGGAGCTCTCGATTTCTTGACGTCCTTGTTGGCTTTAGCCACCCCAATTATTACTCCTTTTTTCCATTGGGGGAAGTGTGAGTTTTGGATACAGAAATTGAAAATTTTACGAATGTGGGGGTGAATTTCACTGGTGAGCTTTTTCAAAGTGGCTCGAGGTATATTGTCATAGCCAGGAGCTGTACTTTTACCGTTCATGAGAGCTCTCTTGTGCTCACCAGGGAATTTTGGAGGAATGACTTCAGAAGATGTAGGTAAATAGTTTGAGAAATCGTGATACCAATCGTCGACTATATCTTGAGTCAGGTTATCGAATAAATCAGATCCAGTGAATTTGTAAACATCCTCAAAGTAAGTCGCGAAGACATCGGCTTTGTCTGGGTCGGAGGTGAGAGTTTTGCTGTTGGATGTTCTTTCAGAGATTGTTTACACTAAATTTCTCAGCATGCCTTAAGGCTTAAGGCATTGATGAGCTCTGAACTCTTGGCAAGGTTTGTATATATTTTTTTTGAATGCATTGCTTTCAGATTTACATTTTTTATTCATTTCTGTGTACTTTTTCTGATTGGTATAGCCTGTACTTTCTTAGATGAACTGCAGAGCTTCAACGTTGACCTTCTCCATGCTTGTTTGGTTGAACTTGTGTAATGATGGATGAAGTTCAGTGATTGGGGAACTAGGATCTTTATTGGTGGATAATATGATCGCTAAGTGGTCCGAACCCAGGTCTGGAATGAGTTCGATTCTGTTGATTCTGTGGAGAATATTATTGGTGCAAAAGAATAGATCCGGTGTAGAGTCTTGATTCATTGGCATGATGAACGTTGGGCCCGTGTGGACTTGGATATACTGTCCCATAGACAGGAAGTCGCTGATCTGTCTGTTTTTGTGTTTGTCAGGGTGGAAATCACTGATAATGACATATTTACAGCGTGTGGCCGTGATGGAAACGCAGTTCTCGAATTTCGCCGTATGATGTGATTACACCCAAAAGATGTGAAGTGGCTCGTCTCTGAAGACAAGAATGAACTGCACAGTTTCATTCAAATGATGTGTAATAGTCGGAGCATTCTGTTTCTTAAGATAGAGGTTCGGATACTCTTGAACTAGGGAACCTCCTCTGGTGTTATACCCGACAGGACATCTCTAATTTTACCAATTGAAAATCAGCCTTTATACTTATTGTTGATGTTTAGCCTTTGGAAATAAGCGAGAAATTTGTGATTGATTTTTAAAAAGATCTGAAAAAAAGTGGCAGCCATTACGATTCTAAAATATTGACAAACTTCTACAGCTGAACAATACCGACAAGGTAGATGACGATGAAACAGTAATAGCGGAACACCTCGCTAAATGCGGTGTTGCACGATCAAAACTTGAACGTTACCACTGTAATCAGTCATACGTCAATATTTATGAAGATTTTCAATATTTCTTCATAATCTTAACTGGAAAGGGTGCCATGAGGCTTGTAAATTAATACAAAAAAATATTTATATTGTAAAGATTTATTTGAATATTTTTGCTTTATTTTCGGGCACGGTTACTCATTTGAAAGGATAAACATCCTTAATGGTCGGAATTGATGATTGTGGTCCTTTCACTCGTGCCAAAAAGGACCCGTTGGGTGCACATGATAAGTCATGCACAAGTACCGGGATTTGCATATAATTTAGTATAAATTCTTTAATAGATCTTTACGACTGTGTTGGCGGAAAAGTAATCTGAAAATGTTATTTTATCATGCACGTTCGTGAATTTGTGGAGCCTGCTGTTTTTAGTCTACTTAGCCCACTCCTCCGTCAACACCCACATGCTCCCTGTTTACATATACTCATAAATACGCGCTGGACGGCGTAACCAGCGTGGCAACATCGCACGTTTGTGTATAATATTACCAAGTGACCCATCTGTACTTTCTAGATTTATTTAAAAAAACAATATGAGATCAGAATAACACCTTGTATAAAGACTTTGCATCATTGTGAAAATTTTCCTCTTAACTCCAAAAATAGATCGCGTAAAAAATGGAATAGGATTTCAATAAAAATGCCACGAAAGGATATAAGCGTGTTTAAATCTTGAATAAATGAATGATAATAATGTGAATGTACCAAATACAAATATGGATCAATTCATTCTTTGACGGCAGTTTTTTATGATCATGCCCCTAATTCATCTCCAAATCTTTACTCCACGAATCACTTGTAGTTTTAAAAAACGTTTATTTTCAATACTGTTATGTCAAGTATTGTGATAAAAGGTTGTATCTTTTGTTAAAATATGGGAAGACTTTACTGAAATAAAATAAATGTTTTTTATCTTTATCTCTATCACTCCCAATTCACGGGACGGCGTTGCCACCTTGGAGTTTCTATTTTTCCCCACCACTAGCGTCGAGAGTATGGAATCCTATGGAAAAATCACAAAAATACTTTTGTGAAAAAATTTTGCCAAGTGGAGTTTTTATTGTATGATCATAGTTTCCCAAAAAATATTCTCAGTTTTATTCACAAAAAAATTTCTATGCTTCCTTGCCACCAGCGTCGAGAGTATGTAAAAAACTGTAAGAGCCGTTTTTCTAATTGTACCCTGCGTGGGGGGTACTTATATTTATTGCAGGTTCTAGACTTAAAGGAATAAATCCCACCAATAATCTATAAGTATTTCAATATGAGACTTTATTAGTTTAATTATGTCATCCGACGGATTACAATTATTACGACCATTACACGACACAGCCTGATTTGGGTCAGCCCTCCGCATACCCAAACGCCCATTTAAATACATAATTGTTTGTATGTCATTCCTTGTTTAGCATACAGTTACGCTGGCAAGTATCATGTTGACAATGCTGATGTCCAAATATTCAACAATAACGTAATTAACTAAAATCTGGGACATAACATAAAAGAAAAATAAATTTAAAGGTCGAAGATGGGACTTAACATAGGAGGCTATTTGTAACGCACGGAAATGCATGTTAAAGATTCAAACTTTGAGATTTTTTTCGCGGCTCTTGACAATCAGATTTTTTTTAACCACAGGTAATTGATGGGAAAAATATGGTGAAGTAGCATAATACCAACGTTACATTAAATTTGCCGATTATCTTGACTCGAATCTGGTCACTAGATTGTGGATGGGATTCAAACAATGATTAAAGAAAAACGCCGGTACGATTACGATTTAATTTCGTAGGATTCATTTTCGAATTTATTCAAAATAGTTTAATTTTCTAATAAAAAATGAAAAATCGACATTTTCAAAGGCACGTTCAAAATCGCATGGCTAAAACCCTGAATGCTGCAATTATTTCCCAATGATGATGTTCAAAATACGGGGGGTAGGTACGGACGATTTAAAAATTCACTCCCCACCCCCGGAAAACATTACAAATCATTTGGGAAAGTATATCTGAGCAACTGGGTTCGGTCCATGACTGTAAGCAGGGCTGACTAATTTCAAAATCACAAACTATCTAAAAGAACTCCGCCTCAGAATCGGCCCATCCGAATTTAACTTTCGCTTCATCGTGAGAACAAGCGATCTGGAGATCGTCAACTTTATGCTTTCTTCAGCTATTATTTACTAATTAGCTCAGCCAGAAAACGTAATATAGAAAAATAAGAAAATATACTCAATTTTATAAAATAAGTACAATCTTTTAATACAGATATTAAAATACAATTAGGCATTGTACGTTATAATGGAGTTAGAATAGATTCTCTTCTATATTCGATTAGATACTATATTCGACTTGATCATTGATTACCATTGAGAAGCAGCATCAGCGCTTAAGTCCGTCAACGGCTATTTTTTATAAAAAGTCATCCCGGAAAAGAATGAGAAACCAACCACAAATTTTATAATGTGCTCCAAAAAATCTGCAGGACTGCCACCCATTTTTTTCCAAACTAGTAAAACTTATCCGAGTTCAAATTTCGATCAGGTTCAGATCAGGATTTCTTCAGGCCAGTCCTGATGATAGATCAGGATCTGATATGATAACTATCAAATCCTGATCAGTCATGTAACGGCGTTTTTAATCATGTTTGATCAGGTGAAACAGTTCAAGATTTGATCAAGTCAACATTATTTAAACCGGATGATGGGAATAAACAATAATTATTGGCTGAAAAAAAAATAATCAAATTTTATAGTTACAGTTCATCTATCTTAATGGATCTTTTCCATTATTAACAGTGAAAAACACATTATTTTACTGATGGGGCAGCTCGGACCTGGGATATTCCGATTACCCATCGTATGCCCGGTCCACTACGTTAACCTGATCTTATGGTCAAGTCAACTCTGTTTTGCCTATATGATCTGTACCGAGGTGTTAGTTGACTTTGTAATTATTCCCGGATGTGCGCGTATATTTTAAGAGATTTTTTCGGTTAGAATTGAATTCGGTTGGTGAGAAATTATTTAAATAATTATGTAATAGTAATGAGGTATCACCTAATCAGGCAAACCTGACGACTACCGGATCAAATACTGATCCAACTTCAGGTCGGCCTGAGGCAATTTCTACTCCGGTATTTTCAAGTCAACACTACGGCAAATCACGTGAAAATCATATACATTACTGAACGCAAAGCTGAGAGTGATCAGCACGGGACAGATCGTTGATCAATAATAAGCAGAGGCCGTCAGATGGGTGACTAATCCAGTTAGCCTGAGCTATCAGGCTCATTTTCACCTGTACCTTTCGATATATGTAAATTTTCTTAGAGTAAGTTGGTATTAAGGTGGTTGTCGCGCGACAGTCTCTGTAAAAAGTTTATCCGCTGTAAAACGGGCCAGTTTAGAACACAATCTTTTAGCGGTATATAGTCTCACTAGATTGATTGCATTGTGAATGGATAGCTAAAGCATAACTATATATTTTCCATATTAACTATTTTCAATTATATAAATTTATGAATTTCCGATAATTATATTCCGTAAACCAAACGGTCAATCGATTTGATTTTTTTTTCTGTATTTCCTCCCACGATGTATATTCCACGTTTTTTTTTATCTCTGAAACTGTCGAGCCGTTGATTTTTAAAAAATTCTAATCGGCAAAACTCCATTTAAACACGTGTTAAATCACTCGAATTTCAAAAATTTATATCTCAAGTTCAAAACGGTCAATTGCAAACGGAAAAGGCTCATTTTGTTGCTAATTTTTCAAACTATTCACCATAAAATTGTTAACGAAAACTGTCGAAAAAAAATTCTACGCGACAACAACCTTAAGTAAAATAGCGATACTTTCTTTTTATTGAAAGTGTAGGAAAATGTTCCCGACGCTCCTTAAGCGTCTGAGCAAATAATTCAATGTCTGATTTCCTGCATTCCACCTCAAATATATTCACTCCATTACAGGCAATTGCCAAATATTTTCTCTTCGCCAAGCGATTTGACTAAAAATAGTTCCAGCCTTGTCAACAGTTACAACTATTAATTAGAACATTAAGGTATTTGAAAGGAGTTAATCTTCTATTTGTTAGGCGTTTGGCCAAAGATTATTCTATTCACAATAAATAAACTAGAAGGTCGTTGAAGCGCCAGATTGGCATGCGGAGGATCGTGAGTTCGATCATTACAAATAACAATTTCGGACGTTTTTTTAATTTTTCGGTGTGCAATTAACGTAAAAAAACTCGTGATTTCTTGGTCTTCAGATCAGTTAGTAATTCTACGATATGTCAAATCGTTCAAATCACTCTCTTGTACTTCATATTCACCTGACACCGATGATATGTGCTCCAGGAGTGTGAACATTAAATAGTTTAAATATAGTTTTTAAATAGTGTTTTTTTTAAATAGACGTTGATGTTTGGATGGGCGGGCGTCGGAAAATTGGAAAAAGTGTGTCGGGAAGAGGAGATCAAATGACAAGCAAATGTGCCAAACTGTAAAAAGAAAAAAAAATTGTTCCTTTTTCATAAATGTATGCATTCTGTTTTAGTTGAAGAATTTTTTTACCGAACATCTACATACGGATGAAGAGATTCGCTTGGTTCTTGCCGGATCAGGATATTTCGATGTTCGAGATAAAGATGATAATTGGATAAGGATCAAAGTAACTCCGGGAGATTTGATAATAATCCCCAGTGGCATTTATCATCGATTTACTTTGGATATGAAGGTAACTGAATCGTTTCTGCTGCCACAAGATTTCCTATTTTAGTTAAAAAAAAATATATATCGGTAATTAGTTTTTCTCAACAATTTTTCTCCGAAAAATGAGGCAAATGTTAATTTATTTGCCCTTAACTTCTAAGAATTGTGTCGGAACCTAATTGCATTAAAGTCAATTTTTCAAAAATTCAAATTCAGTAATTTTTTTTGCTGGTTATAGCGAATTCATTCGGCTTCCCAGAAAAAATTATTGGAGGATTTATATGTACTGATTACCAATATATCAATAAGAACAAGCTGAGAACCTTGCTTCATTATTATCACTTCTTTCTTCTTGGCAAAAATAATCAGTGGGAAATCTCGAAAATTGCGATCTCATTCGACGATTATCTAAGCATTTAACATATGGATGCTCTCTGGAAACTCGAGATTATTCAGAGAGGATTTAGAGAAAAATATGGAGTTTTCCTTCATGATTTCAACTATAATAAAAACAGAATTATAATGTGTTATGTTCTAGAATTTTATCAAGGCAAAACGTTATTTCGTTGGTGAGCCAGTCTGGCTGCCTTACAATCGACCAGCCGACGAGATGGAATGCCGCCAGGCATATTTGCATCGCCTACAAACGAGTTTTCCAATGATCGGTCAATGAAAAGAGGAAATTGCAATAAAAATTCTATATTTCGTACACTTCCGATGGAAGTCTTCCGACCACTAAAGAAATCCACTTCAGTGTGGAAGATCTTACGAAATTCATTAATCAATGTCTATTTTTGTAATTTGGGATATACTATTATGGGAATTAATCAAATAAATTATAAGGCACTTGTTTTTCTTCAATAGTTCGCGTGAGAATGATTGTGATACGTTCGAGTTGTAAAAAGAATTACGATGATTATGAAATGCAAATATCTATGTGAAATAGAAGTTCAGTGAAATGTAGACGTGAATATATGGATTAAAAAAATTTATTATGTATACGAATATGTTAATATATCGCTATATCCTATATCATTATACTATAGAAAATCATAATACAAAACTTCAAGACACTTATTTGGTATCAGTACGATCAAAATAATATTCTCAGAATGGAAACATCTAATAGAATGCAAAGATTGGTCTTAACTGGAATCAATGACAGATTCTCATTGTCTACTTGTAATGTAAAGTAAGAAGAACAATAAAACTTAGGTAAATCATGAAAAGTGCGAAGAGAAAGATTTAATGAGCACGCGATCTGATTGGGCTCCGTAAATATTTTCAATTCATATTCTTTTGAATTCCAATGAAAACTTACTCTCTTTAAATAAAAGCGTAGAAATTTACAGCAGAAACATCTTGAGTGTACGAGACTCAGTACATAACTTTATGGACGAAACAACAATTTCAGAGGAATTAAAAGTCAGCATTCGTAGTGAAGGCGTTTGTTTCCGGTGACTGCATAACTCCCCATTTTTGATATTCGCCGACTTTCTTCTCGAAGAAATTAGTCTTTCCTTCTAGCGAAATTTGTTCCATAAAGTCGAATGGATTTTCTGAGTTATATACCTAAGGAAATAAAACATAATTCATGATTCATGGAGGTAAATAGTACAACAGTACGACGAAAATGAGGGAAAAATCTAACGAGGATGTGTCCTTTATGCATTCACGAGATAATATTATAATCGGTGATTATGAGAGTTTCCTGATGAGCGCAAAAATAATGCACCTGTTGAGATTTTTCTTGGAGACAAGTCCTTTTAATATTTCATAAAAAAAATATGAAACAAGGCGGTCTCATCTAAAAATCATTTTCATAATAGTGCGACGAGTTAAGGAGTTATTGCCGATAGGTTTATTGAATAACTGCCAAATGTTTATAGTCACGCATCTATTTTTTACAATTTTTGGTCAAGTCTTGCGAATTTTTGGCAAACTTCATGAGACATTGAATAATAATAAAACGTAAAAAAGGTAGATTTATCTTCGTCAATTCTATCAACTGTTCCTCAGAAATTTGTCAAAAACATGAAAAAGGAGAAGATATTCGCAATAACTGCTTAAGGAGATTGAGGGCAGCGCCCTTGTGAGATTATTTGCCCGTCGGAATTTCCACCAATCGAAACGGCGCATTTGATCTAATTACACGGAAAGAAATATTCAAGAAAAATTACGGAACATTTCACGTAATCTGTAAGCAAAGGAATCATCACATAAATTCTACGATCTGTTCCGTAAAAATTACTCATGCGCCCGACGCCTCACGGCGAGCCATGAGTCCACCGTGAGGGAGGTATTTTTACGGAACGTTTCGTAATTTTTCCGGAACATTCGGTAAAAATTCTTGAATATCAAGGAATGTTTATGTTCTGAGGCATAATAAGAATTGAAGTTTCATTCGATTTTAAAACATCCAGAAAAATTACGTGACTTTTTTGTATTTTTTCGGTGACAGACACCGACAATTTACTGAAAGTTCTAGATTTATTCCCCGAAAACGATTCTCGCTGGATTACGTGATATGTTCTGTAATTTTCCTGGAATATTTCTCTCCGTGTAGGGAACAACTCAATTTATTTAGTATTTTGAGGAATATTTTTACGGATTTGTTGATGAATAGTTTGTAAGAAATTCTCTCTAAATCGATTCATTTTTCAGATTTGATTCATCCACGTTATCAATGTTTAACAGTTGTGAAGTTTCACTAGGCCATTTTAATTGTTTATGAAATAAATTTGTTACTTTCCAACTACCAGGGGACTAGCCAAAAAATACTCGAAATAATACCCGTCCACTCCTCAAATTGAATTAAATGCGTCGTTTCGGATGGTTTTCAATTTCGACAAGGGAAATAATCAGTAGTAATATCTCAAGAGCTACAAAATTATTAGATATTCCCCGACGAATTCGTTGTAAACAAATAAGAGTATCAAGTCTAGTAAACGAAAAATTTTCCTACAGAACTTGAGGAAATTTGAGGGAAATAGCCGATTAATTTTGAAGCCCGGGGGGTATTTGTCGGATTAGTTCTTCTCTCAGAATCACAACGAACAGAATCGTTCGCTGTTGTTTGATTGATTGCCCCCGACACCGGGGAATATCGGGAAAATATCCGAAATAATACCACCTAAGTAATTCCAAATGCAACGATTCTATTGGCTGTCAATCTGAGAGAAGCGATAATGATTGGAATTCTAAATTATCTCAAATCATATAGGCGACGGACTTCATAATGGGGCGTCGGTATCTTATATGGCGAAAAAAGTAATTTAAAATGGGTGACAGTATAATTCGAATTGACTATTAAATGGAGTATGGGATTTATTTTTGTGATCGATTATTTACCTTTGGACATGCAAGTTCCACCAGAAGTCTATCTGCAACGAATTCAATGTAACGTGACATCAATTCACAGTTCATCCCAATCATAGCGACTGGAAGAGCGTCTGTCAAGAATTCCTGTTCAATTTGGACTGCATCTGTGATTATAGAGATGATGCGTGCCTGCGTTGGTTTTTGGACGATGTGTTTGAAGAGAAGGCAGGCAAAATCACAGTGGAGACCCTGAAAATAATGATTGAACAATGAACTATTGAAGTGAAGTAATTTGAAAATCCACGTGAAGATAATAATAAGTTACAGTTAATAAAGACAATCTAATTATGCTTCCACAATGTTTTTCTTTCAAGGGTAAACTGTCATTATGCTGGCACTATTAAAATCGTGCCTTACATGCTTTGGGTCTATTTAAACACTAAACATACAACAGATTTTGTAAAAAACGGGAATTGCCATAAGACTGCATGTTAATTATAGAAAAATAAGAAAATCATAACTATTTTCAAAGAACACCTTTGTTAATTATTAAAAATCAGGGAATCAAATCTGAAAAACCTGAAACATCTGAAATTTTCCCCAGAATTATTTTTTTTTTGTCGTAATAAATTTAAAAAATCATTTGTTGGGGCGGATTCGCCATAAAAAATGGAAGATAACGAAAATATCGAAAATGGGGGAGAACTCATATTATATCACTGGTCATGATTCTTCAAATAGAACAAAATACCTCGACTAAGAGGAAACAGGTGAAATAAAAAAATTTCGCAGTAAAAGAAATACCCGTCATAAAATATCCTAGAAATAATAGCATACATATTGATCTAACTTACTTCATCTCTGGATATGAGTTCATTACTGAACGTAAGACCAGGCATGAGCCCACGTTTTTTCAGCCAGAATATCGCAGCGAAACTACCAGAAAAGAAAATCCCTTCAACAGCAGCAAAGGCAATCACTCTTTCAGCGAAGGTTGCTGTCTCGTTTGTGATCCAGTTGAGAGCCCAGTTGGCTTTTTTTGCTACGCAGGGGAGATTCTCAATTGCGTTGAACAAATACTGTCTAATAAAAACAATTTTGGAAGATCAAAAACAGAAATTTGTGGCTCAAATGATTATCTAATTATCGAACAATCTCGGTAGGTAGGAATTTCGCTATTGGGATATTTTGATCATAGGGCCAGCACGTCCGAAGATGTTCCCCAATATCGGCGATAAAAAAACTAAAATTTTGGAAAAAAAATGTTTTAAATCGATTAATATTCTCGCTCGTAAAAGCTGAAAAAATGAAAAAAAATCATAGCGGCTAGTCCGTATCATTAAAAAATCTAAAAAAAATTGAGTAGTCATCTAATGATGTATACAATATGGGAAAAAATCGGCGATTCCATCGAAGGGGGTGACGGTGACAGAATGGCCCATATACAGATCATAATTTAAGAAATTATTACCATTTTCAATGTCTTACCTTTCCTGTGGATTTGAGATGTAAGTTTCGATTAAAAGTGAATACATCTCCGAATGTATATTTTCCATTGCAACTTGAAACCCGTAGAAACATCTTGCTTCAGTGACTTGGACTTCTTGACTGAATCGTTCCACTAGATTCTCATTCACAATTCCATCTGATGCAGCGAAAAACGCTAGAACGTGGGAAATGAAGTGCCGCTCATTGTCATTTAGTTTTACCCAATCCGCCAGATCCTTGATTTACAGAAAATAAAAGATACTCATCATAAAAATAATCTGCCTCAAAAATCATCAGGAGATATACACAAAAAAAAATTATTACGAAATCTTCGCGAATTTTCTATTTAATTCTATTCAATTTCTATTGAACATTCGAGCACTTTTCGAACAACTCATTCTTCATTCGAGAATGTTCTATAGATAAGCCAATGGAATTACTTTTTCTTGACATCTTATTTTATAGATGTGAGTTACTGAAAAATGTCGCAATAACTTGATTTTTTAATTATTAAATTTTTATAATAGTTCCGTAAAACTTTCTTAAACCGTATACAGCAGTCAATAAAAAGGGGCAAGAACTAATAGATTAGTTCAATAGACATCTAATAGAATTATTGATCAAAAGCGCATTTTTTTAATTAAATTTTTAATATTAAAAAAATTCAATGTCATATAAAACATGGAAAAATATTTTCTAGAGGCAGAATATAATGTTAGAGTAAAATTTTGACTGATTAATGAATTTCACCTTTGATAAATCAACTTCCTCCACTGTCCAGAATGAAGCTTCAGCTTTTTTGTAGAACTGCCAAATATCTGGCCATTCAATTGGGAATATAACGAATCTACGGGGATTTTCTTTAAGTAGAGGCTCCAGTTGGGAATCAAAAACATTTTCCTGCAAGTCAAGCTTCTTCACAGCATTTTTCATTTTCTGGTACTAGAATTAATGAAAGTAAAGAATAAAAATAGAGGTTATGATTAAGGTTATGATTTCGAGAATATGTCTGCGAAGCTGATTTTTTAACGTCTAATTTATATGATTGATATTTACATCTGAATTTTGTTTGTCAATGGTACTCGATGAATCTGCAGAAATGGCCGTCATTCGTATTTTCTTGCTTGGTGATGTTCCACCTACAGAATTTCGTTTGGACGGCGACTTCATTGGAGATACCTGCAATAATTAGAAGAAATCTATTATTGAAATCGAATCTTATGACCGGCAATTTGCAGCTTCACGCGAATTGTATCTAATCTTCCGTATTCCCTGGATATTCTCTACCAAGTTAATTGCTGATGATTCAATTGATCAAGGAAAAATGTAAAGGATGCCAAGTTTTTATGCAGAGCTGATAATACGAGCAGCTAATGAATCTTGATGAGAATAAGAAAATATTGCAGTTCTAGAAAATTCAGTGTCGATATTAAGTGACTAATATTACGATTTTGAAAGTGATTACATTTTATTAGTATTAATCTGGAAAGATCATTCATGATGTCTTTTGTTTGACACGATTTAATAAGTCAAGGTCAGACTCTAATGGAATTATTATTTCAATTGTTTATGTTGGGAACCAATTGGGATAACGTAATTGTTGTTGGGATGAGCATTATGAGATTACTCACATGTTCTGCAAGAGTGGCATTCTCAACTTTCTCGCTAATATTTTCTTTGTTGTACTGGTTGAAAGGCATCGTGGTGAACTTGCTAAGAGACGAGGTACGAACAGACGGGTATCAGGCGGCACAATAAGATCTCTCACTAGGTCCAAGTGTGATTTACCGCCAAATCGCGAAAAAAGTTAGGGACCACAGAATGTATACATTCGTATCATTGGTCGCTTGTACGTCATTCCAGTTTGCAACCAATCAGATCGTCAGATTTTACCGCCAAATTGAGATAGTTTGTTAATTGCAACTAGTTTATAAACTTAGTATCATTAGGTACGAAAATTTAATAAATAATCAAATTTTTATTTCTTTTTTCATAATCTTGAGTTTTTGGCACTAATATTTATTTTTTTTTAAAGTTTGCAGGCGACCTTGAAGATGGCAATGCTACTCGGGTACCTTCGGTCATATTCGGTAAACAATCTCGGTTATGAAAAATTCCCGCCAAAGTTTGTACGAAATTGAAATCTGATCTGAAACTAATGAAATACACCAGCTATTATACGAGTACAAAATTTTAATCCAATTATTTTCTAGAGGGAAACGATTATTCTTGAAAATACAAATACTTACATCCTGTATACATACTTATAGCTTCCAGGAAGGATTGTTCCAATCTAGACAATAATTGGCTGCAAATATTCTAGTCTGAGGGTAACTGCTATGGAAGTTTCATGGCAATATAATAATGAAATATACTATTTCCTTTGCGTCTCAGAATTTCTCGTTTGCAAATTGGTACTATGATATATTATAGAGTAGATAGCGGTGGCGTATGAACTAAGCCAGAATCTGTGTCTGTAAGTAAAACAGGGTCCAGTTACCCCAAATGTTTTCAGAGGCACCCGCATTAGAAAGGCGAGATGCTGTCAGAAATTTGAATAGTACGAAATGTATGGTCCTTGAATTGGGAATTTAGCAGTGAAAACAAAAAAAATCATCTGTGGAAAAGAACAATATTTTTTAAAAACTGTTCGCTCCGTCAAGTGTAATAAATAATGGATGAATCAGTATCAGCCTGAAAAAAACGGTGAACGATATTTTCATAGTCCATCTTTTTGGACGAGCGAAAATTTCTCGAATTCATGAAAAGTATCAATATTGATTAGTTGTGATTTTTTTTTCCATTCAATAAAATTATAGTATCGAAATATATTGGCAGTGAATTTTTAATGCTTGTACTTATGACCTACTTAGCAAATGCCATGACATTGAACTCATCAGTATCAATAACAATCAGAACACCAGTCGCTGTGAAATATTTGACTATGTACGTAAATTAAAGTCCGAAAACGATCGGAGGAATGGTGGTAATTTCCTGAGCTGCTCAGGGGTGAAGTTGTGGAGAGAAGGATGGGTCGAGATGGACACGAATTATTGGGTCAAGGAAAACTCGGATAAACTCAAATAACTAGAATAGCAACAGGTATATTCTCAAAAAAATAGAAATTCCATATTGATTCCTAATTCCATATCCTAATTAACGATGGGAATAAATGCGGAGGCGTAAGATCCGCAAGACTCTAGTATACAATAATTTGTGAAGCCCATGAGTTTTAATAAAAAACAGTGCAAGTACTTAAATTTGATAAAAGGAAAGACCACTATATATACTCAGTAGATGAAAGAAATATTAAAAAATGAATGTGATTTATATGAACTAGGAATAATTCGGCAGAATTGAAGAGCAAAAAATTATTATTCAGGAGACTATAGTTTATTTGAAATTAATTTTTTTTGTGATGTGTAGCTAGCAGGAGATAAATGGTCTGAAAATCAAAAAGTGCAAAATTTTTATTGTTATGTTCATTTATATCGTCATAAACATTCTGAGCATTCAGAAAACTTGTAGTTCTTCAGTGAAAAATCGCATTTTTTAATTCAACGATCAACTCTTCAATACTAGGTCCATTATCATCGACAACACTTGGACTCTCTGCTTCCTTAACATCACTGGACACTGTATATGCCTGCTTAACACCCAAACACTCATTCTGATAGGTCTCACATGACTCTCCTTTATCCTCATCAACCAGAGAAATTCCCCATTCATTATCTTCATGAACTGGATCTTCGTTAAGTACTTCGGGAATAGATTCTTTGACAACCTCGGTAAATTCCATTTGTCTCTGACGGCAGAATTTTTCGTCACAATTCGGGTTAGGCTTAAGGGTCAAGGAAGGGAAGAAGTCTTGCATTGCATTGTACCCAAGATAAAACGAAACTTTACCAAAATGCAAAAGGTACTTCAATGCATTTTGAGTCAAAAATCCGGCAATTATGCCCATTGTTGTCGGCAAAGAAGCAGCACAAACTCCCTCTCTTTTCAGAGATTTCTCATCGATGTTGGCAGCCACGACGAGAGGCGGAGCACAAGCGAAACAAGCAGTTTCTCCAGGTATAATAAATTGAATGTGACCCGAGACAGCATTCTCCGATACTCCACTTTCAATCCACTTGAGATTTAATTCATTGCATGCCATGTTTATTGCCATTCTAGCTTCGAAATTGTCAACACAGCTCAGAACCAGGTCCACAGCCATTCCTGTCAAGCTGCCAGTATTAAGAGTTCTCATGAACTCATCAAAATGGTCAACAGTTGTGATATTGTAATTGTGAATGTCAATCTGGACATCTGGATTGATAGATTCTAGTGTTTTTGCAGCCGCTGCGACTTTGCTAAGGCCTACCTGATGAGGCTGGAAGAAGAGTCGATTCATGTTGGCTAGTTCAACTTTATCGTAATCGAAGAGAATGAGTTTTCCGATGCCACAACGAGTCAGCATTTCAGCTGTTACACTTCCAACCCCACCTACACCAACAATTGCTACTGTAAATTCTCGAATTCGCTCATAGTTATCAACAATTCCCATTCGTTTCAAAGCCATCAGACGACTATACGGATTTGTATCTACTACTTGGCTGCAGAGCTTATGGATCTTTTCACGGACTGGTCCAGTATTTTTCGATTTTTCATGAGCAAGCTCCAGTTCCAGTTCTTTTATCCGAGTTTCAAGGTCCTTTATGCGTTCCATTTTATTTTGTTGATGATGGTGTTACACTTTTCAATCACTGAGGAATTAACGGGTAATTAGAGTTAAAATTGATTGGTGAAGTAACATATGGTGTTTGACAAGTTGATGTTACTTCAACGTGTGTTGTGGCCAACTGCAACTACCTACCCAGATAGCACAGCCTACCATTGTGTTTTAAAGAGTACGGTCGTACTGGTATCGTACCTGTACCATACTATCACGAGATGGCGATGTACGCAGATACAAGTACGATACTAGTATAGTATGCGTACGCCGTACCCCTGCAAGCCTGTACGAATGAGGTACTGAAAACCCGTACGATACCCGTACGACGTACTGGTATCGCACCCATTCGCAAAAAAAGTATGGCGTGTTGTCATAATACGGGTACAGTGTCGGTACATCGTACTCGTATTGTACTTTTTGGAAATATAAGTATTGCGTACTCTTATAATACTAATGCGATAGGTATGAGATTATTGTAAGAGTACGCCATAAATGTATTCATTTATTAATAAATTGATGGAAAAATTTTCCAAATGGCGCCCCGTTTTTCAATAATTCTTTTGCAATTTTCAAATTCATGATAAATATCACTCTCCAAATTTTCTTCTCCCTTCATTTTCATCTTCGCTTTTACTCGTTCAAAAGAAAATTTTTTAATTCTACTTTCATCTGAAATTTTCATTTATGGTTTTTTTAGTTGCGCAAATAAACCTCTGCTTATATTAATTCAAAATGCAAGTACGACGTACTATTATTAGGATTAGTATCATACTATCATTGCATGAGTATTATATCAGGACGCCATACATGTATTTTGAATGGGTATGATACTGGTACGCCGTACTCGTACAATACTGGTACGGCGTACTAGTATCGTACTTTTACTGATGAAATGGATACGGATACGTACTTTTATAATAAAATTAATTGGCGCAGTAAAAAAATCTCTTTTGTATATTATTCCTAATAATACAGAATATATAGTGTATATAAATAATAATTTATATACACAATAATTCGCGTGGTCTGCGCATTGGTACCGCGCTACCATGGCGCTGACGCCACTTCCTTTTTCCTTCTCCCAGAGAAACCCCACTGAGCAAGAAGTGTGATTTTTTTCCCCGTGTTATTTCAGTGTTTTTTGGACGAATTTTATTATTGCAGCAGGTGTTTTGTGTGTGAGCTGAAAGTGTGGAAGCCGAGGATTATTTGGAGATAAGTTTTTGAAGTTATTTCCCTTAAAAAAGTTCAAAAAAAAAGCATTGACATTTCGGGCATGTATTACGGTTATTGCCTCTCTCACACGACTTATTTGTTCATTAAAAAATCGCATTAAACTTTTGTGCCGGTTCGTTTAGTGCAAATAAATCGCTTTAATAATTATATTCATTCGAAGTAATGGACTACGGTCTTAGTTTAACTTCCGAAGAATAATACGGATTTTCCAGGACATTGGGAAATATTTAAAAGATCTAGTTAGTAGCTCGCATGTTGCTTCATGACAAAGTATATTAAGTAAATGTAGCTAATAACCCTAATGTCATAGAAATTTTGCGAAAACCTTCTGATGAAGTAAAATGACAGAAAACAATCCCTAGTACTTCATTATTACGCGACAAATCTGCCATTATTTATGACAATTCAGAAGTATAAGTATTCATTCGAATACTTTTTAACCCAAACATATTTTCGAATGAAATTATATAAATGAATAGTTATATAATTTCATGCGAAAATTTGTTTGGGTTAAAAAGTATTCGAATGAATACTTCTGAATTGTCATAAATAATGGCAGATTTGTCGCGTAATAATGAAGTACTAGGGATTGTTTTCTGTCATTTTACTTCATCAGAAGGTTTTCGCAAAATTTCTATGACATTAGGGTTATTAGCTACATTTACTTAATATACTTTGTCATGAAGCAACATGCGAGCTACTAACTAGATCTTTTAAATATTTCCCAATGTCCTGGAAAATCCGTATTATTCTTCGGAAGTTAAACTAAGACCGTAGTCCATTACTTCGAATGAATATAATTATTAAACCGATTTATTTGCACTAAACGAACCGGCACAAAAGTTTAATGCGATTTTTTAATGAACAAATAAGTCGTGTGAGAGAGGCAATAACCGTCATACATGCCCCGAAATGTCAATGCTTTGTTTTGAACTATTTTAAGGGAAATAACTTCAAAAACTTACCTCCAAATAATCCTCGGCTTCCACACTTTCAGCTCACACACAAAACACCTGCTGCAATAATAAAATTCGTCCAAAAAACACTAAAATAACACGGGGAAAAAATCACACGTCTTGCTCAGTGGGGTTTCTCTGGGAGAAGGAAGAAGGAAGTGGCGTCAGCGCCATGGTAGCGCGGTACCAATGCGCAGACCACGCAAATTATTGTGTATATAAATTATTATTTATATACACTATATATTGTGTATTATTAGGAATAATATACAAGAGATTTTTTTACTGCGCCAATTAATTTTATTATAAAAGTACGTATAAGTATCCATTTCATCAGTAAAAGTACGATACTAGTACGCCGTACCAGTATTGTACGAGTACGGCGTACCAGTATCATACCCATTCAAAATACATGTATGGCGTCCTGATATAATACTCATGCAATGATAGTATGATACTAATCCTAATAATAGTACGTCGTACTTGCATTTTGAATTAATATAAGCAGAGGTTTATTTGCGCTACTAATAAAACCATAAATGAAAATTTCAGATGAAAGTCGAATTAAAAAATTTTTTTTTGAACGAGTAAAAGCGAAGATGAAAATGAAGGGAGAAGAAAATTTGGAGAGTGATATTTATCATGAATTTGAAAATTGCAAAAGAATTATTGAAAAACGGGGCGCCATTTGGAAAATTTTTCCATCAATTTATTAATAAGTGAATACATTTATGGCGTACTCTTACAATAATCTCATACCTATCGCATTAGTATTATAAGTATACGCAATACTTGTATTTCCAAAAAGTACAATACGAGTACGATGTACCGACACTGTACCCGTATTATGACAACACGCCATACTTTTTTTGCGAATGGGTGCGATACCAGTACGTCGTACGGGTATCGTACGGGTTTTCAGTACCTCATTCGTACAGGCTTGCAGGGGTACGGCGTACGCCTACTATACTAGTATCGTACTTGTATCTGCGTACATCGCCATCTCGTGATCGTATGGTGCAGGTACGATACGAGTACGACCGTACTCTTTAAAACCCAATTGTACGCTGTGCTATCTGGGTATAGTGCGTGAATTATTTGTTTTTTTTATAAAAAAACTTTGGACTCTTAAACATCACCAACTTTATAACAGTCACCTGTAAAAGATTTATAATCGATTGCATACATCCATTGTTTTAATTATTAACTAAACTGAGCTGAGTTTATAACAGCTACAATATCAAGGGTTTCGATATTTTGGTATCATTGTATATAATTGTATAAATAACTACCGTCGTAGGTGAAAATAAGTTGATTTGAGTGAAACATGCAAACAAAAATCTAATTGAAGTCATCATTCGATCACATTATTCACTCATTCAGCAGTTGGTGAATTTTGATTTCACTTGGGCAAGACTCCAAGACGTCAAATTTTGAGGTTATACTTTACGAGTTGTTATTTACTTGTAAAAGCTTGTAAACAATGTCGGACGATGATGATCCAGTGTTTGTCAAGAAAATGAAAACTGTGCATTATGGGTCTCTCGAGGATGCGGAAAGAGCTCGATTGGCAGCAGGAGATGACATAGAGGATGACAAAGAAGATAGCCAAAATGAATCAGGACTCTTGGCCAACGTCCATGTCTCCAATGACTACATGGACTTGGAGGATGAGATGTCAAAAGACAGACAAGCTTTACTGGAGGAGTTTGAACGTCGAAAGAAAGCGAGACAAATAAATGTTTCTACAGACGACTCTGAGGTAAAAAAAAATCTTCGGCAATTAGGAGAACCAATCTGTCTATTTGGCGAAGGCCCTGCTGACAGGAGAGCACGATTGAGAGAATTATTGGCAAGTTTAGGAGAAGATGCAATTAAAAAGAAACATGATGAGGAGGAAAGACCTACGCATCCTGTAGAAAGGGATACCGAAACGACATGGTATCACGAGGGACCCGATTCGCTGGAAATTGCTCGTACCTGGATTGCTCATTACTCGTTACCAAGGGCCAAGCTACGATTGGATAATGCTAGAGAAGAGTTGGCATTATCTGGAGCTACACGAACGGCCAAGAGACAAGAATTGTTGAAAAAACTCCAGGCGTTGACAATTTACTGTTCACAAATCGGAGATACAAGGCCCATTTCTTATTGTCAATTTAGTCCTGATTCGAAGCTTTTAGCGACTTCATCGTGGTCGGGGTTGTGTAAACTCTGGTCGGTACCTGATTGTACACAGGTGAGGACGCTAAAAGGACATGCTTGTAATGTTGGGTGCATTATTTTCCATCCTAAGGCTACGATCACTGATGAAGTCCTGGGGGATAAGCCTGGGCATACTTGTGTAATGGCCAGCTGTGCTAGTGATGGTACATTGATTGAATTTATTTATTACGTTACTTTAATAGAAATTCAATGTCGAATCGGGGTTTGACCAAATAAAACAGATTAGTACTTGATAACCGAAATTGAAAATAGCTATTAGAAATTATGAATAATGTAGTCAAGACAAAAAATTCATCATTTTTTTACATTATATCACCTCTATAGATGAATGCCTACCATAATTGATGCGGAAAAAAACTGAATTATTTTTGCCGATACTGGGGATCGAATCGGGGACTAATACGGGTACTAATCCTATGCCCCAACCACTAAACTATAGCGCTATTATTATTGAGTGAACTCTGTTTTGCTTATACGATGTATATTAGGGATATTTGTTCACTTTAAGAAGCGGAAATTTACTCAATTAAAATTTTATTTATTATATTTTTAACAATAATAATAATAATAATAAGGTAATGATTAAATAATTCAGTTCGTGCCGCCTGATCGGAGCTTGATCAGAATGATTGTCGATGAACGATCACCATATCAGAACCTGATCAGAGTAGTACGGATTAGGTTGAGGAAATCGAAGACTCATCAGGTTCTTATCAAGTTCTGTCTGATCAGTTGAAACAGGCCACCGCTATATCAAGTCCTGATTAAACTTCCATTTGCTCGGGTCCGATGCAATACGTATCGTTGGCTAATGAACATTTTCTTGTAGGGACTGTCAAGCTTTGGGGAGGCGGAAGAGGGGAAGAGCCTTTAGCCGAAGTAGAGGGCCATGAACCGAACCGAGTTTCAAAATTGGCATTCCATCCGTCTGGGAGGTTTCTGGGTACTTGTTGCCATGATGCATCTTGGAGATTATGGGATTTGGAGCAGCAAGCAGAAGTGCTACATCAGGAAGGTCATGCTAGGGCTGTCCATTGCATTAGGTATGATAAATCAAACGGAATTATTTATATTCACTTTCAAGTCGAAAATCTTCAGTGCGGTTCACTTCCTTTTTCATCACCCAAGTTTTCTTCGGAAAACTCGCGACGTCTGTGTGTGTGTGGAAAAAAGTGCGTTTAGAAAATTTAAAGCTAAAAAAATATGGCCTTAAGGCCCGGGTGGACTATCTATCGAAGGTCATCTTTTGTTTACACTTGATAATTTTAGCCTAAAATACATTAAAATTTGGAATCGAATTTGTGTTGCGGGAAGCACTTGAATGGGTATAAAAAAATAATGAAAAAAAAAGAGGAAAAATCACAGAAGGGCGCTGAAGAGCGATATTGTTTAAAAAGAATCTATCAAGTTTACTAAAAAATTATGAAAAATACGTAACTTACCGGGGTATGACACATTACATGTGTGGCCGCAATTATAAGCCAGGTACATCTATATATGACATATATAATGAGCTACGCATTTGTTATTATTTTTTAGTAAATTTGGTAGACCCCCTTTAAACAATATCGCTTTTTAGCACTCTTGAATAATTCCCTTTTTTCTTTGTAACTCTCTTTTCTTTATCTTCTTTTTTTGTCCATTCAAGTGCTTCGCGCAACACAAATTTTATTCCCAATTGCAATATATTTTAGCATAAAAAGATAAAATTTAAACAAAAGATGACGTTCAATACATGGTCCACCCGGGCCTTGAAGAAAAATGCCACTAGTGTGGTAAATATGATCATATATCAAGGAATCGTCGCGGTTTATCAATTAATCCTCCATTTTCATCGTATTTTCCATTTTTTAGTTTCCAAACGGACGGAAGTGTAGCAGCTACTGGCAGTCACGATTCTTTCGGTCGTGTATGGGATCTACGGACGGGTAGATGCATCATGTTCATGGAGGGGCACCTAAAATCCATATTTGGAATCGAATTTTCCCCGAACGGATTTCATATCGCGACAGCTAGTGAAGATAATTCTTGCAAGATATGGGACTTGAGAAAACGCACATGCATTTACACTATTCCAGCGCACACCAATCTTCTCTCAGATGTGAAATATCAGCGTGGCGATGGCCAGTATCTAGTCACGGCGTCGTACGATAATACAGCTAAAATATGGTCCAACAAAACATGGCAACCTCTCAAAACTCTGCCTGGTCATGATGGAAGAATCATGTCAGCAGATGTTTCATCCGACAACAAATTCATTGTAACAAGCTCATATGACAGAACATTTAAACTCTGGGCACCAGAAATATGTTAGAGTGTTTAAAAAGTATCTAATCTAACATGTTCGAAACGAAAAAATGAATAGGTTCCAACTACAAAATATACTTGAATATTTTTATTATTATTGTTGTCAATTATCCAATCTATTAAGGTTGTTGTATTGTAAAATTTCTGTCCGACATTGTTTATTCCGAATTGCATAGTGAATAGTTCGAGAAATGAACTACAAAATGGGCCCTTTCCGTTTTCGGTTGACCTTTTCGAACTTAGGATATCAATTTTTGAAATTTACCTAATTTAACACGTGTTTAAATAGTTTCACCGATTAGAATTTTCAAAATATCAACGGCTTAATAGTTTTCGAAATAAAAAAACCATGGAATATATATCATGGATGGGAATACAGAAAAAAAAATTAAATCGATTGACCATTTGCTTTACGCGATATAATTATCGAGAATCCATAAATTTATCTATTTGAAAATAGTTAATACAGAAAATATATAGTTATGCTTTTGCTATCTATGCACAATGCAATCAATCAAGGGCGACTGCATACCCTGAAAAGATTGGATTCTAAACTGGCCCGTTGAACAGCGGATAAACTTTTTGCAGAGACTATCGCGATACAACAACCTTGTTATTACTGGTCCGCAATTTCCTACCACCACTAACAGGAGACAATTAATTATTCCAAACAGGAGTTTGTGATTAAGTCACGAAACCCCCCCCACCCCTTTCCCTGTGTTCATCATCATTAATTAATAGACAACAATAGCAAATGAATGAAATTGAATTCCCATTTTCCTCGGCATTGTTCTACGCATGCGCACTCGTCCGCAAGAACATTTTTTGATCGATTCATATCACATGAACAATGATTGATAGTCTTATAGTAACGGACTATATAGCATTGACAAACAATTTCAAATATAATGACAGATATTTATTTTGACCTTCAATTAAAAAAAAATCGGGAATGGGGTGCTAATTTTTTTTTATTAATAAGATAATAACTATTTGCTATTAATACGAATTCTATCAAGTAACAATGCTTTACGATTCGTAAATGACCAGAATTGATAAAATAATTAATTTTTAATTATGGGTTCTTAATTATCGGTGGAGGGGATGAGAAATTTGAAATTGTCTGTCACACCAGCACGTGGCAACAGAGAGAACTCATCCCCTGTTTTCGAGCACCTCACGTACTTCCATAAATCTTAGATCATCACCGACGAGGAAAAATATCTAACCCAACCTCGCCCACACTTAACCTAAGTTAGCTAATGATAACTTTGGGGTGATATATGTGTAATTTTTTCAATAACCATTTGCAAAAATAAAGATAATAAATATAAAATGTCAAAGTTATTCGAAAGGAATGATTCAGATTCTGATGAAGATATCAAGATCAATTCTGGGTATGCTAACGATTACAATAATTGGCGACAGAAGGAAGAGTTGAATAAACGTGAGTCAATGGATTATTTACCGTGTATTCATTCAATAGAATATCTGCTCCTGAGTTATTATTAATTTCATTCTTTTTGTAGTGAAAACTAAATATGGAAAGCATGTGGAAAATTTGCAAAGCTCTGAGGGTGAGTCTGAAAGTTCCTCGGATGACGATGGAGAAGGCAAGGTAATTGTGACTTTCCATTTCCTATTTTCTTTTGACATTCTCAGAAACATAAAATTAATTTTTTCGTTATGTAAAAAAACAAAAAAATTGAGCTTTATCGTTTTTTTAAAAAGACTTCGTAGTTACCTTTCGTATATTCGAAGTTCAATATGGAAAGACAAGAAAAAATTGTATCGGACGTTATGATATTTTGTGACGACGAATAACGTGCCACGTGCAGAAAAATCCAGATACTTAATTTATACTAGTGTATGATTACGAGAATATAATTCTCGGATTTCGTTATTTCTGATTACTAAAATTGAAACGAATTATTATGAATGTACCGACGATTACTCATTTTTTCGCGGTTGTATTTTGAAAGTTTGCGATGGAAAAAATAAGTTCAAATGCTCTCTCTTTATGCATATTCACAAATCTCTAGAGTCTAGACAGTGAAAAACATATCAGTTTTCAGACCATATCATTTGTTTTGCTCAGTAATAAACTAATATAAAATAATAATAAATAATAAATACGTAGCTTACCATTGCTCTCTAGGAGATTCAGTGACAGCTAGATGCAATGGTAAGCTATGTCTTTTTAATTATTTCTTGGTAAACTCGCTAAATCCTTTTTAAACAATATCGCCCTTTTATCATTTTTCCTCTTTTTTCTCGCAACACAAATTTAATCCAATATTTTAATGTATTTTAGAGTAAAAAGATGAAATGTAAACAAAAGATAACGTACGATGGATAGTCCATCCGGGCCTTAATATTATAAATACCATATAATTCGATTTCAAAGTTTCAAAATACTATTCGTATTTAGTGGATAGTTATAATATGACTTATGAGTCATGAGCGTGTCATAATTTTTCTGCGTTTTTTCTAAAGTTTTATGAATTTTTAAACAGTTCAGAGGAAACGCAAGAACATGATTGCACTAGCATAAAAATTTGGGAGTCATTAAATAACAATAAAATGTGAAAAGTGCTTTTTTTTATTTATTTTTTATTTATTATTTAATTTCAATTTTTTTGTTTTCTTTTCGAAATAGAACCAGCCCTTAAGAACACTGAAGAATATATCTATAGACTGCATTATTTCTCTGCTAGATATGTAAACATACCATCTCATGAAATTCTGTTGTTATTTTAGGGGATTACCAGTGTGTTTGAAAAAGACTTTTATAAAACTCTTGCCTGTCTGAAGGCGAAGGATCCAAGAATTTATGACGAGAGCGTGAATTTTTTCTCGGATCCAAAAGACTTGCAGGAAAATCCAGAGATTCATTCTTCAACGATCACGGAGAAAATTAAAAAAAAGAAGCAACTCACCCTCCGAGACTACGACCGCAAAATGATAATTGAAGGAGTTCATCAATTAAGTGGAACTGATGATGAAAATGACTTTCACCTGAAGAGCAGAGTAAATAGTTCTACTTACGTGAAAGAACAAAAAGAATTGAAAGAATCCATAAAAGAAATTCTTCAAGATGGTAGCGATAGCAATGACGATAAGGACGATCTGTTGCAACCCAAACACCAGTCATTAGAAGAAAAAGAGAAAGAGGATGAATCGTACGAGGAATGGCTGAAGGGCCAGAAGACAGAGATAGATGTTTCGGAAAAGGCAGCATTAAAACCGTTAAAAGATTTCTGGGCCGATCCTAAACTTGATCAGAATGAGAAATTTCTCAGAGATTATGTTTTAAACAAACAATTTCTTGGTAGAGACATAAAACATCCTGAACATCACGAAGATAGAATCCATAGTCCCAATGAAAATCTCTCCGAAGATGAGCAAGATATTGAGCAACAAGAAATGTTTGAGCACAAATTCAATTTCAGGTTTGAGGAACCGGATAGAGATTTTCTGAAACGGTATCCTCGCACGCTGGGTGATTCCCTACGAAAGAAGGACACAAAAAGATCGGAGAAGAGAGCCGAGGTAAAGAAAAGAAAAGAGGAGGAGAAAGAGAAAAGGCTAGAGGAATTGAAGCGTCTCAAGGTATTAAAACGGAAAGAAATTGAGCAGAAAATCGCACAGTTGAAAGAAGTTACTGGAAACGATGATATACATTTCGATTCCATTGATTTCGAGGAAGATTTTGATCCTGTTAAACACGACGAGAAAATGGAAAAGTTATTCAGTGACGAATATTATAAAGAAGAAGATGGAGATATTAAACCAGAGTTCCCAGATATTGATGAAGAGCTGGAAATAGAGCGTACGTGGGATGACTATGAACCCAACCTTAAGGAAGAGAAATTAAAAGAAGAGCAGACAGGTTTCCATTGTGAGGATGTTGATTTTAATGTAAGTATATGTCTAGTTGATAATTTAAAGCACTTATTAAGAAAATTTTTAATTTAGAGATTATTCTATCCTAAAAGCTAGTTAAGGATATCGTCACATAGTCCCGAATACAAGTAAAATACAGATAATGACATGCACTCTAAAAATGAATTACTATGGGTCACTCAAGAAACTACTTTTGAATAGGATGAACAGAAAATTTTCATCAATTAATAAATTACTGCAGATTTTACTCAACTTTAGAAGAACTTTTGAGTAATATAAATATTTCTTTTTAAAAGTTTTTAGAAATACTTACCATCAGTAAACTGAAAACGTTTTCAAAATTATATTCTATACTTTTTAGACATATATTGTATACACACGGAATTATAGTAAAAATACGAGATTTAGAAGGTAATTTACGGCATTTCGGGTCTTGTGCATCTGAACATGACTTTTTTTTTTCAAAATTTTTCCGAGAAAATTTCAAAAATCTGAAAATAGCGCTGAAAGGGGAAAGAAATCGAAGACGGCAAATTCTGAGAGACATCATAAGCTATCCTCCATGGCTTCCATAGAATGTCTCAAATTTCCAAAAATTACCGAATTTTGAACTTTTTTGTAATTTTTGAATATCTTTTAGAAAATGTTGAAAAACAATTACGGAAAACCGTGTTCAAATGACCATCAATATCCTCAAACATGAAGATTTAATGATGCCCAAAAATGTTTTTTTAATATGTCCTTGCATTTGCCATCCCAATCACAGATTTTACGTGATTGAGATGTCGTAAATTACGAAGTTAATTAATTTGAACAATAGGTCTTGATACATAACTTCAACTCTTTCCTCCTATTAATGATTTTTTAATACATTCTACACGTCATTAATTTCCAGTGGCAGCCATTTAAAACTCTTACCTCTGCGTATGAAATTGAAGTTCTATTTCAGCCCTTGTTTCTTTTTAATTAGATGGATGCAGATTATGATCCCACCAGTACTGTCCAAGAAGAATTGACGAAATCATCGAGGAAGAAGCGAAAACGTCGTTCAAAATTTTCAGAGATGATGTCGAAAGATAAACCGAAGTTTGACCCAACCCATCACACTTCCTATAAGGACTATTTTGATCAATATTATAGTCTTGATTATGAAGATATGATTGGAGATCTACCCTGTAGATTTAAATATAGGAGTGTAGTACCTAATGATTATGGACTATCCGTAGAAGAGGTAATTATTAATTGCAATCATTTATTCACGAAACTGTCTATTCAATTGTTTCAATTGTTCAATGGCAGATTATATTTTTTTCTGCAGATTTTAATGGCTGATGATAAAGAATTGAATAAATGGTGTTCTCTGAAGAAAGCTTTGGAACACAAACCGAAACATCAAGAATTGAATGAAGTTAGAATATATAAACAAAAATCTTCAAACGAAACATATAAGAAAAAAATCCTGAAGAGTTTGTACGAAAAAAGAGATGATGGCAATGGAGGAAATCTTATCGTTAAAACGAATCACAAATCTAAGAAGGAAGGTCAACGTTATCCAACGAAGGCCGATGAAGTATCACTTGCTGTACCGATTGGTGGAGAAGATATAATTGAAAATAAAGCGAAATCAGTAAAGTTTGAGATGAATAATAAAACGAGTGCCGATAAGGTCGAGAGTCCTCTTCAGGCTGTGCTTAGTGAAGAGGAGCATCCAAGAAAGGCAAAACTGACACGAGATGTAGCCAACATTCCACAAGAGAATGAAATTGATAAAAGAACCGAGAATATGAAGAAAGAACGAAAGAAACGGAAGGGAATCAAGGGAATTGTGTCTCAAGATCAGAATTCAACTGCACAAACAAATGATAGAAAATTAAAACAAACAATACGAAAAGAAAAATATAAACGAGTGCAAAAGATGAAATCCAAATATGCAAAAGGTTCGAATGATTGCGTCATTACGTCTTTGAGTGAAGAGAGGCTGAGAGCTTATGGAATCAAAGCTAAGAATTTTTAAAATGAAATTGTATATGGTTTAGAGTGGAGCTGGAATAAAAAGATTACCAAAAAAACGACTGATTCTTGTCATATTTACCTATTTTGAAAATTGGTCCACCTGTTGTCACTTTCTCACTTGCTACATTCTAAAATTGACTAAAAAGATCGGCGAGAATGAAGGTAGATCAATTGGCTAAAATTTCTATTTAGATACACTGTATGCTGTATATAAAGTTCAATGAGTCATAAGGGATTTTTTCAAAATTCCATACAATTCGTTCACTTTTGATTTTTTCTCTTGACCTCCAAATAGAATCGTAATTATTCAGATTACCTCTCCCGACCACAGAAATCATATTTTCCTGTTACTATTTATTCAATAAATGAGACATTTTCTGCTTCAGAGAAAAATATTAATGATTTGATTTATTCAGACAATGCATTTTGATACAAAAATAATAATGAAATTATAAATTAATAAGAATAATTTAATTAGCGCTGAATTAATAAAAATCAGCTGTCGATTACCCAGAGGACGTTTACTCCAGACATTCCTAGGTTCACTCGTCCAAGCATTCCATGATCTCGGGTTTTTATGATGTATAAGAAAAGGAGAAGTGTGTGGAACATGTTGTTTCGCCCCTAAAGAACGTTCAATCAGATAAAAAATAACAAAATTACTTGTAGATTTTTATGATTTTTATCAGTATGAGAAAAATGTTAACATGTACATTCATATTTTTTTTTTCAAAAGAATCAAGGCGAAATTCTGAAGATATCGTTGAAATCGATCTATATATCGATCCCATCGATTTATATAAGAACTACATGAGTGGACCATTTATCGAACGTCATCTTTTGTTTAAATTTTATCTCGTTAGCCTAAAATATATTAAATTTTCCGATCAAATTTGTGCGGCGGGCGCCCCTCAAATAGTTATAAAAAGATAACGAGAATAACAAGTGGGGAACGCCATTATAAGGAACTGCGTATAGCTGTTGTTGCTAAGAAATTACCAACAAGCTTCCGAATGGATTTTCTGAAAATTGGAAAATAATAGGGGTAGGGGTAAATCTTTTGATTTGAACAAGAGTGCTTTGAAAGAAAAAAATTGAGCCGTCATTTCATTGATATTGCTCATAATATTTTCCGTTGATCATAAAAATAAAAAAAAATTACCAAGTTTATAAAAAAAATAATACGAACCAATGACAGATAAACGCGGCTACACGTCGATGAATAATGGTCAGGATTAGATAAATCAGGGGTTTATTTGAAATTTATCGAATGGGCTTTCGACTCTGATAGTATAAAAATTAGTCAAGTGTTCAGTTTCATCAAGGAATTCTTATTTTTCGAAAGCAGTCCTAATGCTATTGGCTCCATCGCGCTGTCATTATCATGCCTTAATTGTAGTTAAACTTACCCTTGGGACTTCTTCGCAGCTAACAAGAGAAGAATCTCCACTGAGAACTAGAGAGAAGCGTGGAGGATCTGTAGATTGATTAACAATAATTGGGCCTTTAGTTCTTGGCAATTCTGTTCCACTCTTCGCCATGTATCTGGAGGTGAAGGGCCGAGCGTCAGGCTGGTCCAGAGGGGCTTCAAGTTGTGTGTCCATGTATGATGAGACCAAATGCATAACAATCTGGATAAATGAAAAGTAGAAATTCAAAAGCGCAGAAAATACAAAAAAAGTATTTGGTTATCATTTTCAATTTTCGCGACGCATTTGTCAAGGTTATCAATAATGAAAACCTGTCCGCACTTCAAGTGGCTAATTAGTGATCAGTGTGATCAGGGATTATTTTGTTTACTACTTTTCATTATTTCTTTCATTATTTTACTAGTAGATTAAAAAATCCATGGATGTTGATATTACAGCTGTATCTGTTGGCATGCTCGGATCCCAAGGCTTTCCACTGTAAGATCCTCCGCTGTTCCATTTAAATTCGCTCATTGATCCACCTTTTGCTAAGACTTTTATTCTCTTCACCAGATAATCCTGGTTGTTTGATAATTCCAGAAATTGTACAAGAGTTGGTAGCGTAGGCACTGCTACCGATTGGGATTGTGCGAGTTTTCGGAGTCTGTCAAGGCCTACATTGCCTGGTTGAGAGTCACTTAATCCATGGCGAATGAGAGCTGAACTTACGTTGTCAATTTCTATTGATACCCGCTCCACCACAGTTTTGCTAATCCACTGCAACGAAAAATCCAAAATTCAATAAAAATTATGATCATCTAGAACTAGATCATTAATAAGTCAATAAATAGACAAGAATGCATTGTAAAATTATATTACAAAAAATTTCAGTATAATTTTTCCATCTTATAAGAGTATTACCATTCGTAAATTTGCAGTCCATTGGTTAACTTTATTGGGATCAATTCTGTATTTTCGCCAGATATCAGGGGTACCAAAACATCCTCTGGGTGATGTGCCTTCTTCAGCACCGGGACTCGAAGATTTTGTTTTATCTGGAGACATTGAGAAAATATTACAAAATTCACCAATATTTAAACGATATTTGTCAAACTTATGAAAAATTATCGACAGGCTACACGGATTATCCGTTTGATAATTTCCTGGTAGCCGAGGAGATTATTAGATTAAGGCCCGGATGGACTATATATCGAACGTCATATTTTGTTTAAATTTGATCTTCTCAGCTTAAAATACATTAAAAATTGGGATCGAATCTGTGTTGCGGGAAGCACTTGAATGGGCATGAAAAAATAATGAAAAAAAAAAGAGAAAAAATTATCGAAGGACGCTAAAGAGCGATATTATTTAAAAAAGATTTACCAAGTTTGTTAAAAAATAATAAAAATTACGCAGTTTATCATTGCTCTCCAGGAGATTGAGCGACAGCTAGATGCAACGGTAAGCTATTTATTTCTCTATTATTTTTTAAGAAATTTGGTTGATTTCTTTTAAGCAATATCGCTCTTCAATAATTTTTCCTCTTTTTCTTAATTATTATTTCATCTTTATGCGAATGCTTCGCGCAACACGAATTTAATCACAAATTTTAATGTATTAAGCTCATTCTCAATACCGTCCGTTGTAGTGATAAAAAGACAATCTCGTTCAAATTTGAAGTTAACAGTTCGATTTTTGCCCGGGTAAGAGGGCAAACAACAATTTTTTTCAACATAAAAGTGACAGTAGCTATTATTTCTTCCAGTATTCACTCTCAATTTATGATTGATTCCAATAGAGCCAATCATGACGAAAAAAATGAAATAAAAAAACTGAATACCTTACTTAATTTTGGAGATATTCCGAAAAAACAATTTATAAACAAATCACGATTTTTCAAGACTGGCTTGAGCGATCGAGATCAATTTGGGTTGAGAGTTAGCCTCAACTCTTACCCATTACCTAACCAAATTAAATTTTTTGGGATTTTTTTACCTATATATTTTTTTATCTATATATTTTTAACTAAGAAATCACTGCTTGTCAGAGGGGATCACACAAAGGCATTTTCAAAAAATGTGTATATTATCATTTTAGACTATTCTAAATCGCTTCCAACAAAAATTAAATTTTTTTTTCATGAACTAGCGGTGAATTAGCGTCGACTTCGTTGTTAAACTACATTAGCGGAAAACATTTTGGGAATACAATACATTACTTTTTTATTACCTTCGGATTCTCGATAATCATTAATCCATGACAAACAGAATTGAATTTGTCAGAATCGAATATTAGATATGAGAGAAAATATTTACCGATCGTTGGAGCCAGTTGGTAAGCGCATCGCCTCAACATTGGGGAGATTTCTCCAGGATTTCGTGTAGCAGGATGGGACCAGAAGGAGCTCAAAAGATTGGAAGGCTGGTCCATACTAGTCGCCAGAGATGTTTTCCTCTCACGCTCCGAAATATCTTTCAAGTAATTCTGCAAATCTGATTCATCTTGGATCATACCTTCACTGGTGAGATTGCTATTAATTGAAGTATTTAAAGACTTATTGAATGATGTATTTGGAGTAGCATTCAATGTTCTTGGCGACGGTGGACCACTGTACTTGGAAAAAGGACTAGCTGCATACGTTTCTGAAGAATAAGAAATTAATTGTCTAAGGACAATGCTTGCAGGTGATTCTGAATGCTTCCCCAACCAGAGGAAGCTTGACTAGCCGCGCATATCTGGTATGAAATAGTTCTATAATTTCAAAATTTCAATTTTAAAATAAAATCACATATCTAAAAACTACTAACTATTTACATTCTTATTGGATTTATTTCCGCGCAATTCTTATATAACTATAAATAAAAATTTTTCAATTGAACTGGGCGTAATCAGCCTTGTGATAATTCCAATGATTCCTTTTTTTTTAAATTTTCCACAGTGAAAATTAATTTACTTTAGAATGAAACTAGCATTTAATCTGTTTTTGGCATAATTGAGTTTTACTTTGTGAAGCATTTTAAATTTTAATTTGAGATAAAATAGTTCTTTCTATTGAACTTGTTTTGGTCTTCTAATAATTGGCATCGGATTTGCAATCACTCTTTTTTCCCAATTTTTCTTAAAAGGATGTACTTACTGCTCTCATTAAGACCTGGGGACCCCAAAGACCGACGACTAAGATTAAAAGAAGACAAATTGACAGGAGAACTCGGTGTTGGTTGTTTGGGTGTAGTACTACCTGTCTTAAACAATGGATCATCCTCATTTATACCCAGTAGCTTTTTCTGTTGCGGACTGAGCATGATTGGTCGAAGACTAAATATTGCATAACAGTAGCAAATGATATGATAAAGAGCATTCAATCCAAAAATCATGGTCAGAACCCACTCAAACCACAAAAACGGTTTATATACCGTTCCTCCCTGAACGCTGAAATATAAAAACGACACAGCTATAGTTGCGATACAAAGAATTACTGGGAAGATTTGATGTAAATTTTTCAGTAGAAATTTTTGTTTTGTCAAGAATTTGGTCTAGAGATATTGCATATGGAACATGCACATGGAACATAATTCATTACTTGTCAATGGAAACAGGAATACTTTTTCCGTTTCCCGCCAAAAAAGGAAATGATGTTTTAGCCTCGAAAAGTAAAATAAACAATCTGAACCACGTGCTTATCATGTAATAATTTTGCAACCGCGGGCAGGCATTCTTTATTCCACTTCCCTCTTTCCCCCCTAGGTTAGAAATATACTTGAAGGTTCAACGGTTTTTGTTTACATTATTTTTCAACCGAATCCTGTGATCGAGTATTACTCACATGTCAAAAACGAATACGCCAAGCAACGATCCATTGATAAAAAACCACATTATACTTGATCTCGCTTTTGTTTGCATTTGTCGAAGGGTTAGAGTTTGCTGAACTTGGGCCCTTGGTGTTAAAATTCTGCAATTTATAATGATTCCGGTAAGCAAAGATAATAATACCCTTATTATTTTTAAATGATAAGTTCTATTTACCTGGCGTTCGGTGAAATACATCGCATTGGAGAATGAAAATCAGCCATCACAATGCCTTAACAATCACTCCAAGTCAATATCAAATTGATTGCCCTCTCTTGATTGATTTATGATAAACTTTATTTATATCCAATCTGGTTGATTTATTTTCCGAAGGCAACAATCAGTGCCGTTTTGTTTTTAGTAAATCATTGTCTATCCTTCAGTTTTATGTGTATGGATTTTTTATTTTCCAAAAAGCAGGACTGCGGACAGAGATGTGGGCTGCGGCCACGAGTGCCGGCGTTATTATATCAGGTGGCGACAACATACATAACCTGAAAATCCCTAGTTCTTAAAACAACCGGATTGGGTACAGTCAGCCCGAAATCTTTGAATGTGCAGAGTGTGATGGAAATATGCGCACCCGCGCTAGAAAGGCGTGACGCTAAGTCAGCAATTTGAATAGGATGAAGTGTATGGTCAATTAATTGGGAAGTTAGCAGTGAAAACAGAAAGGTCGTCTGTCGAAAGGAACAATATTTTTCAAAAACTTTTCGTTCCGTCAAGTGTATTAAATAATAAACAACTCGATGTGTATCTGCCTGAGAAAAACGGCGAACGATAATTACATAGTTCATCTTTTTGAATTCCAGAAAAAACATCTCCGGAAAAAACATTTCCGGAAAAAATATCCCGGAGAAAAAATCCCGGAAAAAATATCTTCGGAAAAAATATCCCCAAGAAAAATCTTGATTAGAAAACGTTGGTTCAATTTCCCATGAAATTGAATCATCTTTTTTATTTCTCTAATTTTTATTTAATATATATTGTGAGCAGTAGGAGGGGGGTTCCCCCTCACGACCGCCCCGTTTTGCAAACCTTAGAGACAAAAAGATAAGAGCAACGAAGATAAAATGCGTGACTGGGGGGATATTTTTTCCGGGATATTTTCTCCGGGGATATTTTTTCCGCCACTTCATCTTTTTGGACGAGCGAAAATTTCTCGAATTCATGAAAAGTATGACTACTGATTAGGTGGTTGTGATTATTTTTTTCATTCAATAAAATTATAGTATCGAAATATGTTGGCAATGAATTTTTAATGCCTCCACTTATTACCGATTCAGCAAATGCCGTGGCACTTAAAACTCGTCACTATGAATAACAATCAGAAAACCATTCATTGCGAAATATATCACGATAGTATGTCATTTTTTTAAATTATCAGGATAAACGTTAACGTCAAGTATACAACTCAAGGAATGAATATTGAATGAATCCGGGGCCCGGATCATTAGGGCCCGTCGTCGGCCTATTCTAAACTTTATAAAAGTATGAGAAGAGGGCTGCGGCTACCAAAAATTTCATTAAACAATTCCCTTTATAACATTGTGTTACATCATACTGCCGGTGAAGAGGTACAGTTGAATTTCAATTTTCATACCTGACTTACTTTGCAATGTTACATTAATTATGATTTGCATTTTTTTACTGTTGAATTGTGCTATCCCTATTATACAATAATATTATAATTTAGAAGCTACTGTTAAGTGTATGCATAGTTAGAGCAAGTTAATGCCATTGAAAATGTAGATATAATGCGAGTGTAGTACGATGCGATTTCGTACTTTATAGTCCTCTTAAGTTTAAAATTTAAAATACTTTACCATGCCCTAAAATCCTGGCCCAGTTTATTCGGATTGATTAGTCACACCAAAACTATAGACTCAGTAAATTAATTTATCGAAAAACTGGCCCTTATACATGATCAATAAAAATTGGGCATGATGAATTGGGCAAGTCCCCAGAAAAAAATGAACTAAGCTGTAGCTTAAGCTATAATTCAGTTTGTTATTTTCTGCAAATTTCGGTTATCCTAAAGTTTTACTTATCAAGCTGAAAATCATTCAAGTATTCGTATGATTAATAAATTAATCAATCAATTCGATTAAATCCAAATCAAATCGATCAATTAATCGAACAAGGTGACGCTCTTAGCTTTTATTAATTACACATTACTCGTTTCTTGAGTTATAGATTCGATATTATTTTTCAGTCCAATAATTTTCAGAACTGACCTAATGTCATCATGGAAACATGACAGGAGCTCCATGACTGGACATCCCTTATTTCTGATTCTGGTGTTTTGAGTACTATGGATTCTTCATTATCTAGAAATCAAATCATAACGACAGCATAACCAAATAATTCGTAACCAATACCAAAATTTTTTATGAATCTAATGATATTTGGCTCGTACAAAGAGGTAATCTTTTCAAACATCAGTCAACATGTTTACTACAACAGATTCTCATTGGTCTTTTCATTACTCGCTTCAGTTGATCGAGTAAAAAGATTTAAAAATATTCATCATTTCCACAAACAAATCTTACTTACTAAATTTTTCATTCGAGACTTTGAATTTCATGCTATTCAAATTTAGGATTAGCGTTATGCCTTTCTAGGCGACATGCGCTCATTCTTGCCGTTCTGTGACTTCACATTTCTGCGAATTACCTTGCGCTAGCTAAAAGATTTTGGGCTGACTGTACCTATGCCGGTTTTTAATTGAAATAACATTGAATATTTCCACTAGTGACAGTTTCGGATTGGAAAATTCGACTGAAATTGGCCGAAATGAATAATTTTATGACGACTTGAAATGATAAATTCCAACGAATCATAATTGAATATTTGAACAGTCTTGGGCTGTTGCTAATGAAAATTATAATTTTATCTCGACATAAAATAAGGAAAATCGTTCTCTTGGCCTTGGTTATTTTCAGCAAGATTCAAGTGAATTACAATGTGTTGGACCGAGTGTACATGCATACGAGATGATGAATTTTGATGAACGTAGTGGGGAGTGTTTTCCAAAGTCAATTGAATACTTAAATCCTACAACCAACTTTTCCAACCTCATAAAACCGATTCACACAATTATTGCAATAATTTAATGAATCAATAATTGAGTAAAAAAATGTAGCATGCCGATATTTTCATTTGTACAGTTGAATTATTGACTTGAGTAGTTGCTCCGCCATTCTTTTCATTCCTTGCTTTTTACGATTGAGTTGAACCGAACATACATACTGCATGCTGCGCGCTTGACTGCATTAGTCTTTTTTTTTCTCCCTTCATTGGTATAATAATCAGTGGTGTGCATTTTTCCTCTCACAAGTACCGAAACGTCAAAGAAAGGTCAAAATTTAAACGCGATTTATTTACTCAACAATTCATCCTCTTCCACTGTGCAGTATCTAATTTCAACTTTAGTCAACTCATCGTTTAAACTTAAATGTGTAGTTAGTGGCCGCATGATTGCGGAAAGAAAGGAGTGTCAAAGTGTTCTTCACTTGATAACTAAAAGGATAACCTAGTGAAAATAATAAAAGTGAAAGTTAGAATGAACAAAACGTGCGCACGCTGCGAAAAAACGGTTTATCCGATAGAGGAACTCAAATGTCTTGACAAGGTGGGTTTATCAAATTTAATCTATATCCCAAACAATAACCTCCTGTCTAATCTCAATTGTTGTTTCTTTCCCACTCTACGCCCATCTGGAAACTTGAGATTGCCTTTGTTCACCTGGTTAAAAAACACACACTTTTATCAGATTTTCTAAATTATAATAGCTATATTGAAAAACACTATCCATGCCGTAAACGTTAATATTTATTTAACCACAACTTTATTACATTTTTTTTATCATTCATCTTGTGAGTAAATACAGGTCAAATGAAATTTATTCCCAAAATGAAGAGACAAAAAAGAAAATTCATAGATGGAAAGGGAGAATTACTTCGGTTCGACATGGTCACGTGCTCTCATGTTTAGTTTTTCATAGCTTTTGCGTGAATGATGCCAAGAATGAATGAAGCACGAGTGTTATGAGACATTGAAACTGATGCGTCAAACGGTGGAATATTTGCTCTGCCGTTATTCACAACTGTCACTCAAGAATTCTTGAATAATATTATTGTTTTTTTCAATTTTTTCTTCACTCCGTTAATATTTAACTTTTTGAAATCTCTTACTTTACTTTCCGACGAAATATACTTTCAATAAATGTAGGTAGAAGGCTGCGTGGGTGGATGTTGCCGTTGTATGATGAACAATCAACCAGCATTTAGACTGAAGAATCTCGCGTTTATTGGGCGTAAAAATTTTCCCATGGGCTACTAGGTCCTTGAATTTACACTAATTTACAGCTAAAAAAAATGTAAACGTCATGCTGGCTTCAATTCGAATGTTAAACATATTTCTCATCATATCGAAATTTTAATATGATTAATTGGTTCCATTTAAGGGAGATGGATTTATTTTTTGGCTCTGAAACTAATTACCATGTTGTGCCATTCTCCAATTTTCTACAGGGATTTTTAGGTTATGAACACAATATTGCTAATGAATAATACAGGGATCAGTGTAGTACCTCTTTAAGACATGAAAAGCATGGAAACTATTAGATAAACAGTTTTGTTAAAATAAAAACCGTTTTATTTTGTATTTTGACAAACTAACAGAATTAATATCAGTGTATATATATATGTAGTAAATAGGTTAAATGAAATGAGTGCATTGCGTTATGGCTTCCTAACGGTAGCTTTGTAATCGTCCGATTTTCGGTTTTCTTCAGTTTGCTTGGAAATTATGTAGAATGCTTCGAAATGTAAAAACATAAAATTTTAGCACCATGTGTGTATGTGCGCATGGTTGATTTCCACTCTTTTTGAAAATTAAGGGAATAAACAGCTAAAGTTGTACCGAGAAAGATGGAATATCGTGAAATTATAGGTATTACTAAGGACTAAGTCTGTGCAAAAATTCACCTTAATTGGTCCAGTCGTTTTTCAGAAATTCCCATTTCTTTCTGAATAGTTTTTCGCAAATATCTCGAAAACTATCGAACCGATTTCAATTTTTCACCGCTCAATATATCCGTCTCGGTGGACTCTATCTCAATCAATAAGAATATATATACCCGTTCTCAGTAAGTTTTGGAGATATTCCAATGTTTCTCTTTTTTCTAACCAATTTTTGTGAGCACGGTAACGCTGCGAAAAATTAATTTATTAGATTGAAATTTGACATCGAATTTTCTCTTGACAATGAACTGTTTGGTATTGAAGAAGGGCTGAATTGGATGATTAGTTCGTGAGGTATTTCAATTCTTCTGTTTTTACAAAAAGTTTCGGTCGCACGCTAAACTTTCTAAAATATCTCGAAAACTATGCAACCGATTTCCACTTTTCAAAGATCTCCATCAGTCATCTCCATAGAATCTGCTTGCAGTGCTCTATCTCAATCAATCCAAATATGTATACCCCTCCACGAGGGGCCATTCATTCAAAAATTCGATGACAGTGATTGCTGATTTCATCGGATTTCCCGATGCTTTCAATGATTTTTTGAAATCGTTGATTTCATGTGATTGTCGCGGATTTTTTTCCGGTGATTTCACCGTTTCAGATGATTTCCGTGACTTCAAATGACTTCATGTGATTTCGACTCTTTAATGCGAATGGAGCAGCAAGGGCGAAGAGGGCTAAGACAGGGGATAAGTTGAATCCAATTAAATCTCGAGATAAAATAGGACGCAGAGAACAGGACAATCAGGAAAATTGAGTAATTTTTTATTTTCAATTTTATCAGCCAAATTATATAGGTGAGGGAGACCAAGGCATGATGGAGTACTTGAATATGACAATCACTTCTATATGTTTTTACCCGCACTAGCAGCAGTTATATCGGATTCATGCAATGAGAAATACAATGAGAAATATATAATGAAAAATATGGCATTTTTTTTCAATAAATCATTTATTGAACATAGTAGAAGAAAGAATACCTCTGACATGTTGAACTGAATTAAACTAAATGAAAGAAGATCTTCACGTCTCAGTAAAAGACAAACAATTGAGAATTAAAAATATTTGACGTCTTTATATATTTTCTCATCAACCCGAAGACCATCTTTGGAAATGACTGGAGAGGAAATTGTTTGACGGTATTGACTAATATTTATATAGCCATGAGTAGTAGTTGGCTGCATTTAAAAAATCTTTGTTTCTTTCTTTAAAACATTCCAGGTAGGAAGTACACTTATTTCCTTAGCATTACCCTATACGCGAGCATATGATCCTGAGAACTCTTGAGATTTTATTGTTCTCCCATCCAAACAAACAAAACTCAACACCAATCCTCATAAACAAGTTTAATAATTCTTCCTTTGAATAGGCACCACTGATGCTTATGCCTATGCTTATTTCATCACATTGTCGAATGAAGGAAGTCCTTTCATTTTCAATGCTTGAAATCTTTCTCTTCTTGTCCAATTTCTTCAATTCAGCCTCTTCAACTCTTTCTAATCTATCAGTGCTCAACTGAAAATGTCCTTTATCAATAACAATGACGATTTACGTATTCCAGACGTTGTACCTGATTTATGTGTTACAGTAGTAAATGAGCTCTCAGGAGATAGACTAGTTTTCCCCTTATTAACGCTTCTCAATTCTAGGAGTTCTTTAACACTAGAAAGATTTGTTATGTCTCTCAACAATTATGCCAATTCTTCTGCTGAGTCAATCTCCGCATTCCGCATTCCGCTCCTCTTCAACATTTTCACCCTCAACATTATCTAAACCATCCAGGTCTTCAGTAAAGAATTCTTGATGTTCCATTAATTACACAGGGATTTTTAAACAATCCGAAATCTTTATTTCCATCCCCAATTCGTGAAGAGCATCGAAGGAATCTCTTTTTAGCAATTTCTACTATTTGTATAAATTTCTATCAAAATTCGTCGATCGATTTTCTCTGAGAATTTCATGAGTTAATCCTCTCGTATTTTATATTTTTTTTCCCCCGTAGAAAGGGTGTCCGGAGTTGAAAATAAAGGTGGTTAAAACCTCGTTGCAAAACGCACGTTGAACTCATCGAAAATATTCCGTATATATTTCACCTATTTCATACATTCGATTTTCTTTTCTTATCTGCAGACGATTTTCTATTTATTCTTTGGCGTTATAATTCATGCCATTTCACTGATTGCACGGAATTCCACTGATTTCTTATGATCTCACTTGAAATCACTTGAAATCGATGATAGCCCAGGATTTCTCCTATTTCAATTAACGTCGACCGATTGCAGGAGATGTCATGTGATTTCAAACATGATTTTAGCCCGAAGTGACAGAGTCATTTCATGAATGAATGGCCCCTCGCCCTTCCAAACTGAGTACTCAAGATATTTCAATTTCTCGTTGTTTTTTTTTCAAACAATTGATCAATGGAGGACATTTCCAAGCCACATACCTAATAGTAGTCATCATGAAATTTTCGAGAATTTTCAACAAATTTTCAAAGTCGACAACATCGTTAATGCAAAAGTTGACGTTGAAAGATTGAGTTTTTAAAAAATAAGAGTATAGACGAATATTTGAGTATTTTCTCTAGACGTTCGAACGCATACCCATCAATTCATTGCTAGCGATGGAAGATTGGAGCACTCAAGGACATTCTCACTGTCACGTCCTCGTTATCATATGCTCACAATATCTGCTTGTTCATCTATTCAAATGTATGAATGACAGGTTCTTTCCAATATATGGCGTGTTTTTCACTGTTGTGAAAATACCATTTTTGTTCTTATCTTGGTTAACTTTAGTTCAGTACTGGCCGCTTCTGAGGGACCATTCATCCACATGAAATCACTGTGTCACTTCGGGCTGAAATCATGTTTGAAATCACATGAAATCAGTGAAATCGCATGAACTATAACACCAACAAATTAATCGAAAATCGTGCGCAGATAAGAAAAAAAAAATCGAATGTATGAAATAGGTGAAATATATACGGAATATTTTCGGTCAGTTCAACCTGTGTTTTGCCACAAGATTTTAATCAACTTTGTGAGGGGAATTTTCACCCTCAACAATGTTGAGGGTGAAAATGTTGAAGAGGAGCGGAATGCGGAGGATGAGATTGACTCAACAGAAGAGTTGACAGGACTGTTGAGAGACATAACAAATCTCTCTAGTGTTAAAGAACCCCTAGAATTGAGAAGCAACAATAAGCAGAAAAATAGTCTCCTGAGAGCTCATTTACTATTGTGACACATAAATCAGGTATAACGTCTGTAGTACGTAAATTTTCATTGTGTAGACTTTTTGATAAAGGACATTTTCAGTTGAGCACTGATAGATGAGAAGGCGTTAAAGAGGCTGAATTGATGAAATACGACAAGAGAAAGATTTCAAGCATTGAAAATGAAGGGACTCCCTTTATTAGATAATGTGATGAAATAAACATAAGCGATTGGTGCCTATTCAAAGGAAAGAATTATAAAAGTTGTTTCTTAAGATTGGTCTTAAGTTGTGTTTATTTGGATGAAAGAAGAATAAGATCTCGAGAGTTCTCAGGATCATATGCTCGTGTATAGGGTAATGGTAAGGAAATAGATGTACTTTGTAT